ATAAAGTGAAATGAAATGCAATGGGTTAGTAGAATAAGGCTGTGGGTTAGTATAAAATAAGAGAATAGAAATATTTTAGAAATATTACAAATAGAGTGCGCTATCGAACATGTGACAAAGTGACGACAAAGTGACGAGTGACAAATGACAGCTAAAGTGGCATGTGCAGTGTGAAGGGGAGTGACCGGTGGAGTGTCATAGTCAGTCAGTGGGGGACCGGCTCTGTTGATGAGCCCGACTGCTGTTGGTGTGGCGGGAGGTCTTAGTCCTGATGGACCTCAGCCTCCTGCACATGGAAGGGGCACTAACAGGTTTTGTCCGGGGTGAGAGGGGTTAAAATGTAAGTCGCTTTGGATAAAGGCGTCAGCTAAAAGACATGTGATGTAATGTGATGTGATGTAATGTGATGTGATGACATGTGATGTAATGTAATGTGCTGACATGTAATGTGATGACATGTGATGTAATGTAATGTGATCTCTCAGGTGATGGGGGGTCTGGATGGCGACATGTTCATCTACTACAAGATGTTGATTCTTCAGGGTCTCATCGCTGCCAGGAAACACATGGAGAAGGTTCTACAGATTGTGGAGATCATGCAGCAAGGTAGTATACTCGTATATTTACAAGAGTACTCCGAGTATATATTAGTATTAACATGCGTAATAGTACATGATACCAGGACTTTTTATCACGTTTAATGACATACTATGACATTTTCAACTTGTTTCCCATATATTGTGATGTTTTTACTTTTTGACACAGTGTGCCTTCTTTTTCCCTTTTTCAACTTACCAAGTTTTTTTTTTAGTTTTTTTTTTACCACTGACCTTTTGAGTGTTTTTTGACAATGATGCTTCTTTAAAAAAACACAAACGTAACAGTTACATTGTGACAAAACAGTAGCATTTTTTGTCTTGTTTGTATGTTTTCATCATCTTCCATCTTCATCATGTTCCTTCTCCCTCTGCATGTCGAAAAAAGGAAATGAATGTTTCAAAGTGTCATAGTATCGTTTTTCTTTACTACCTTTTTTCTTCTTTGATGAGCTTGGTGACCTTGGTGACCTCATTACTTTGGTCACCTTGGTGACCTCGCAGACTTTGCTGACCTTGCTAACCTCGGCGTCTCCAGGCTCTCACCTCGCCTGTTTCCACGGATCGAGCACCATCCGCGGCCTGAAGGAGCGTTTCCACATGTCTCTGACGGAGGAGCAGCTGCAGCTGCTGGTGGAGCAACTGGTGGACGGATCCATGCGTTCCATCACGACCAAACTCTATGATTCCTTTCAGTACGTCACCAATGGCATCATGTGACCTCAGATAACCTTTGAACTCTCGTTCCGTCACGTTGGTTTAAAGGCGGTGAGACCGCGTGGCGTTTGAGGGCAGCTGGGTTCCGTGTGTGGGACTTTTATCCAGGTGGTTGTTTCCTGTGAAATAAAACTAAAGTCATACATAGAAGAGAAGAAGTAAATGGGCTGAAAGCATCAGATGCATCAAATACATCAAAAGCTGTCTTCTGTTGGATTCTAATGGATAACATTTGATCATTAATGAATCTCCTGAGTTAGACTTTGAAGATACCATTTCACCTTTGAAAATTGATTTGGATTTTTAGCTTGACTTTTTTCATTTAAATTAAATTCCTCATGAATATTACCATAAAAACTACTACTAAAAATATCCTGCATCTCACATCTACAACATATATTCTGCTCTTTTATGGCAGAATATGTTTAAACAATTAAGAAAATTCTCCAGAAAACGTACGGTAATTAGGTGTTAAAGTTGAGAGTAAATGGACCTATTTTCTGTTTAAAAAGAATTGTGCTGAACTTGTCAGTTCATTTATTGGGATGATTTTACATTTATATGTTATATAAAAACTATGTTTTTGAGTTTCTGTTCCTGACATGTTGCACATGCTAGCAATAACAAGAGTTATCGTTATAGTTGTGATTTCTGGTCTTTCCTTAAATCAAAATAGCCCCCAGTCGGTGAAACAATTCCTAAGCAACATATTTTATTTAAGAACCTCAACCATTAATTGGAAATCTGCATAATTACTGATCTCCCAGCTTTCCTCCTCTCTGATTGGCCCTTTAGAGATACATTCCTGTGATTTGGCCAATCGGGAGAGCTAAAAAATAATTCTTCATTAGATCAGTTTCCTGAATATGTGAATGTTTTTTTTATATATGTAATAACAATCCACTACAATATTTTTTCTCATTACTGAGAAACAAATGTCTTATTTTTTAAAATGTATAATGATGTTGTAATGACTGTCAGTAACACTTCCTATGGCTTTATCCCAGCGTGTTACACCTGAGTACAAAAACATCACATTGAAGTCACTGTTTACATTAAAAAACAGTTTTAGAGGATTTAATTTTAGAGGACGTGTGAAGAGAAACATTAGCTAGTGCTACGTTAACTGTTAATGTTACATAATATTTTTACGTTTTCGTTCACTGAAAGCTAACTAACTGTTCTACAAATTACAATATTGTAACATCATTCAATCAATATTGACTGTGATTCCTTGTTAGCCGTTAGCTTGACAACGACTCAGCTAAAATCTTTGCTAGCTTAATTAATTCCATCCCCCTTTGATTTGATTTTAGCTTTGACTTTTTTATTTTTCTTCTGTACAAAAGGAATGTCCAGTCAGCATACGTGCTGAGTATAATTATAAAGACATGGACGCTTCTCGCCGGGATAAAGCCAGTATTTAGGGTTTTGTTTTTAACGTCTGTTTCGTTGTTTTTGTGTGTTTGGCCTTGAAGGAGCAGCACAAGTCTGTTATTGTCAAAGCAGCGGCATGTTACCGCAAACCGTTAGCTTGCTCAGATTTGATTCCGTTAGCTTGCTAACGGTTAGCTCGCCATTATAGACGCCACCCCGCTCGACAAAGATGCAGCTGTGACTAAAGTTTACCAGATGAGCTACTTAAATATCAAATAGTGTGTTTTCTGTGTGTGAATATGTAAGTATGTAAATGAGTTGGTTCTCCTGGGAGATGAAATCGATGCCTTCAGATGTACAGAAGCCAATAACGCTTAAGATGGAGGGGAGAGCTTTTATATCAGACACTTTATGGGTTTCAACGCTGAAAGGTTTTCCTCTCCGACATCAGTCCAGAAGGGAGTTGCGTTTATTAAACTTTGTCACACTTTGAATATAGAAACATTCTTGGTCGCTGAATGCAACAGAATGAGACACAATATCTCTATTTCTTAGTTGAAATTAAACAGCTTTTTTCGGAGTGAATTCTGGAGAGGAAAAGCTTCCGTAGGAACTGGTCTCTGCTTCTAACTTTCATTTGCCTTCTTTCTTTCTACAGCTGGAATGTGTTAAAGACTATGTGGAAACTCTTAAAGTGCATTCATTCTAATCGAAGACGTTTCTCTCCTTTGTTTTCATTTAGTTGGTATAAAACAATTTAACGATGCCAGCAATGCTAACTGCTGCCCACGTGTTTCACTGTGTGGAGAAGAAAAATAAAAAGTTAAGGGAGGACAAAGCCAAGATGAATTAATTCATAAATTACATAGAAAATAACCTGTAGGACAACACTGATGACAGTAATAGTAATGTGATTAATATTTATAATACTAACAATAATAGCAGGACCGTGGTGAGAGTCAGGAACAGAGTCTGGATAGAACCATGATCTACGGAAACCCGCGAGGCGAGGAAGCACAAAAACTTTGGGGAAGAAGCAGAATTACTGATGTGCATTAATGAGACGTGAATTATCCTTCGCAGTCTAAGAATGTAGCAGCTTCACTAAGGGCTGGTCCGGCTCACCTGAGCCAGCCCTAACTATAAGCCATATCAAAGAGGAACGTTTTAAGCTTTATCTGAAAAGAGCTAACCGAATCTGCCCCCTGGACTGAAAGTGGAACCTGGTTCCACCAAAGAGGAGCTTGATAACTGAAGGCTCTGGCCCCCAGCCTACTGTTTAAAACCACAGGAACAACAAGTAACCAGCATCTCTGGAGCGCAGCTCCTTGTAGGGTAATAAGGTGTTACAAGCTCATTAAGATACGACGGTGCCTCACCAGCAAGTGCCTTGTAGGTGAGGAGAAGTACCTTAAAGTACCTCCCCGCCGCATTGTCTCCATCCCCCCCGACGGTTTTTCCCTCTCCTTTTCTTAAAGCGCTATGCATTCCAAGGCGATTCACAATACGTATGTGAGATAACAAGGAGGCCGATCGATTACAGTAATCCAGTCTAGAAGAAACATCTCACTATTCTGCATCACTGACTTCCTGATTTATGATATATTACGTAGATGAAAAAGGGCAGTCCTTGACACCAGCGTGTCCAGTGTTACCAACTAAAAACTATTCAGTGATGTCTAATGTGTAATTGTTCAAGACGATGTGTTTTAAAATATCCGATTATATTACATGTGTTGTGGTTATATGAGGTCTACAAATACAAATATTTGATGATAATGATCAAAAAAATCTGAATTAACATGTCAAATCATAGTTTTTGCTGAGATGGACAGTCAATTTTTCTACGTTATTTTGTAATCTACGTAATGACGTCATCACAACATCATTCAGCAACTTCCAGTAACAAACCCGCCCCCGTCCAGCTGCTTCCCCGAGCAGCACCGAGTGTTTCTGATGCCATCGAACGCTCGGAGCTCTAACGCCAGCGAAACGTGATCGATAACTAGTTGGTTGTGTCGGTACGAGCTGCGAATGACGTCTCTGGGAGGCGCTACGTCACAGCTCCATCGTTTAGCAACTTTTCGTTACTTCGGCTTCTTTCTATTGTGTGACCACTATCGTACACATTTATTATCCAAAGTAAAAGCTCTATATCGAGTTCAATCATTCCATGGTTGGAGTCCTATTAAAGTAACAACTGCTCATTTTCAGATGAGTTGTAACAGGTTAATAATCATCTTCTGTCTGTGGTTTAGTCATTTTAACTCTTAAGTTCATCAACAAGAATTCCAATAAACACACATAATATTTATTCAGCAATGATTTATTAACATTTATGGCTTTTTGTCGACTTCATCAACCTTTAAAACTGCAAAATTAGATTAATATCAAATTATAAAAACTAAAACATTACCTCACCTCAGTGAAGTTGGTTTAGTTTATCAGGAAGCTCGGAACAAAAGACAGACGGTAAATATTTATTAATCTTTCAAAACTTCCCCACAACGTTCTTATTGATGCTTCATAACTGATTAGTTATGCATCAGTAGATCATTTATTAACCATTAATAAAACGGTTAGTCACAACTTGTTAAAGCCTTTATTAGACAACACCTCTAACTTACATTTTTACAAACATTTCCAGAACCAGGAATCACATCTGAAACTGGACGTAACAAAAGCACTGGGGTTTGGCATCGAGCTGTGAGTGTGTGTGTGCAGACGCGTCACCAAGAGAAAGTTTATAAGACCACACAGTCCGAGTCCTTCTCTCTTCTCCGCGCTCCGCCCTGCTGTGACCCGTGACCTCTGACCTGGAAACACGGTGACATCATAATCAACACCGGCACAGAAGAAAAGAGCCTCAGGAACATTTACAGTGTGGTGGTCTCACCGCCTGTGCTGCCGCCGGTGATCCCTGCTGCTGCTGCTGCTGCTGCTGCTGCTGCTGCTGCTGCTGCTGGTATTCCTCCTGTTGGAGCTGTTGGGCCAGCTCCAGGTCACTGAGGGGCCCCGGGGCCCCGCCCTGCTGCTGCTGCAGGGACACCGCCACCAGGTAGTCCTAAAACCAACAAAGAACACCTGTCCCCACCAGGTAGGTCTCATGGTGCGCTCACAACAAAAGCAAGGAGAGTTTTCTCAATACTCGCCGACTATTTGTATTTAATTCAGCAAGTGCGTCTGGTTGACGCTTCAGCGCTAAACAGGCTGACCAGCGCTCCGTTTGATGACCCGTCTCTCCGTGAGACACTAACTAACTTACAGGCGTTCAGCTCAGCTGCAGAGCGTCTGTGTGCCTCCAGCGAGCGGCTGTTTCATAAAGTACATTCACGCTTTGACAGCAGGACGGCGGTGATGACGGGCGGAGCATCTCAACGCTGATTGGTTCCGCAGGACAGCGTCGGGCGAGTATTTTAGGCGGATGAAGCGAATTATTCGCATCGCTGCGCCGCCCGTTGAAAACGTGCTTAGTTTGCAACCATTCGCGTCTGTGCACTGACTTTGCAGGGAATCTTTTCGCTTTGCTCTCGGTGTGAACGCAGCATAAGACCCGTCTCCCCTGGTCTGGTCTCACCTGGTCAATCTGTCTCTGCGCGTCCTGGGCGCCGGGCGGCAGGGTTGTGGTGGGCGGAGCTCTCTGAGGAGGATGACACAGCCTGAAGTCAGAGTCGCAGAAGTTTCCGTCTCCCTCGACGTTATGAAGAGACTCCCAGACCAGCCCCTCCTCCTGGAGGAAGCCCTGATCGGACACCAACAGGTACAGGTGCCCCTGAGAGAAGAGACCGTATTAACATCAGGTAGGTGCGTGTGTGTGTGTGTGTGTGTGTGTGTGTAAAAACTATTAACAAAACTTAAGAAACTCCTAAAAAAAAGTTAGACCATGCAACTTTTTATATAAAATATCTGAAACGGTGTTTTTTCTGCGGCTGAAGGACTTTTTGTCCACTTAACCAACATCGTCTTGCTGGTGCTTGCTAGATGTCCGTGCTGCATTCCACATGTTGATCATCACAGACAACTGGACAGACTGACACGGAGTGAATTGAGTGGAACTCTCGTCCTCTGGACGGGTTTGAATCAGAGTTACTTTGTGTCTGTAGCGAACTTTACATTAGAGCGCCTCAAATGACACGTGGTGTTCCCCAGGGTTCAATACTGGGGCCTCAACTGTTCAACATCTACATGCTTCCACCAGCTGGACGACACGGACAGACTGAACAACAGTGTGAAGTATGTGTGTAGGTCCACCTTGTGTTTCAGTATAGTACTGCAGTGTGTGTGTGTGTGTGTGTGTGTGTAGCTCCACCTTGTGTTTGATCATGGTACTGAAGTGGTTGTTTCTGAAAAACACAGATATTTCTCCTTCTGTAGCCGTCGTGTTGAGTTCACACAAACCGTGATACGACAGCTGTGTTGCTGTTGACTCCAGGAACTGCTCTGCAAGGAGCCCTGCGCGCGCACACACACACACACACACACACACGCCATGTGAAAACGTCTAGATTATTTACCACAAAGCTACATTTTACAGATTACCTGTGAACACATCACAACAACATAATGTTCTCGAAGCCTGAACGCATCACAATGTAACTAGTCAACCTCCTTTGTTAGCTGTGCTGCAAACATCCTAGTCCATCTTAGTCACATGATCAGCACTAGAGACTAGAAAAGCATCAATGAAGTCCTGTGTGTGTGTGTGTGTGTGTGTGTGTGTGTGTGTGTGTGTGTTACCTTCACTAACTCGACTGCTGTCTGATGAGTGTTTGTAGTCGATGATCTTCTCCACCAGCTGGTTGTAGCTCAGCTTCCCGACAGAAGCCTCCATCTCTGGACTCTGAGGGCAACAAATAGGCTCAACTGTGGCGCACACACATCCACACACAAACAAACACACAGTGTGTACCTGTGGGTCCACCAGCCAGCCGTGGTACAGCGGGATGTCCAGCAGGTCGAACACGATGCACTCAGGTGTGTACTCGAAGTCCGTCACTCCGGTGAAACGAACGTTAACGTCCAGACCGGTGGAGAGCTTCGGGAGCACGGCCATCGCATCACTCATGTTCTGACACACACACACACACACACAGGCTGAAGTTCCAAACACATCTTCGATTTCCTTCCTGTGTGTGAGTGTGTGTGTGGGGGCACCGCCCACACTCTGCTGGTGGGACCATGCTCAGCTGTGTGTGTGTGTGTGTGTGTGTGTGTGTGTGTGTGTGTGTGTGTGTGTGTGTGTGTACCTGTTGGAAGTTCAGATCCATCCCGTCAGCCTTGTGTCTGGGTGTAACAGACAAAACACACTCCCCTGCATGTGCATACAAGCACACACACACACACACACACACACAATTAAAGGAGCATTCGGTGTTTTTCTACATCATAGAATCGTCCAACAGAAATCACAAGTACTCTGAATGAATCAGCTGTTAGTAAAAGGTGAGAATCAGAAGAGGCTCCTGATTGGCTGAGACTCATCGTACCCAGGTGAGCCATCAGGTCTTCAGTGGTGACCACTTCAGTCTGAGCCGGGAGTTTAGCCTGAAAACACAAACACAGGGACGAGTAGCATCACTACAGTGTAGGAATACTAGTCCTGAGGAAGTACAACTATCTACATGTACTTCAAGTACAAAGAGTAAAAGTACTCATTATGTAGAAACACACTGATGCATTAACCTGTCATTGCATTAATGCTGAGCTCATTTTAATAAAGTTGTTTATCATTTATTAATGTAGTGCAAGTATTAAGTAACTTAAAACTGAAATACTCAAGACAAGTAAAGGTACCTCATGAGTTGTACTTAAGGGACGGTTTGGATGTTCGAAGCTCTGAGATGTTAAACGAGTGGTTTTGTGGTTGAGGATCACAGCTTCAGAGAGCACCCACCCAATTACAGCGTCAACTTTTATATATGTATTACTTTATTATAAATATATCATTAGATGTGTCTGAAATACATTCACAGTGGTATTTAACACAGTATCACACTGCCTCTAAGCATCTCGTTAAATGCTGCCGCTAAGGGGTCTCCCGGGGGGGCGGGGCTTAGACCCAGGGTCTACCTTCCAGCGGAGGAACAGCGTGTTCATGATGGCCAGCAGGGGGCAGGGTCCGTTCTCACTCTGAGTGATGATGGGAGTCTTCTTCCCCTTCCACGTGATCCACTTCACCAGGTAGTAGGCGGCGGAGGACGGCCCCGCCTCTGCAGCTGTGGAGGAGGCGGGGCCAGTGCCGGGGGGAGGAGCCACAGGACCCACTTCTGGACCGGAGGAGAACTACAGTCAGATATACAGTATGTACATATAAATGATAGTAATAACAGCCTTTAGTCCAGTGAAAGTATTAATACCACACAGTAAAATAATCTAATCTCTGAACTAATACAGACGATAACAATTATTGAAGGCATCAACAATCCACATTGATAAACAGCAGTTTGTCCAATAAGGAGGTAAAAGACGTGTCACCAGCAGACACCAGCATCTCCTCCTCCTTCAGACGGGGGACCTCAGCAGATGGAGAGCCGCCCCCCCCAACCGCAGAGCAGGACGAAGTCAAGCCATCCTCCACGTCCAGGGAGCCTCTTGTGACCGGGAACCCGTCTGACGGCTCCAGACCGGGGATTAAGGAGGACGTTGAGTGGGTCGATTCCCTCTGGTCATCTGAGCCGCCCACCACGGAGGAGCTCTCCTCCCAGTCCAGACCTGAGGACAACACGGGAGACATGAGGTCCAGACCTGAGGACAACACGGGAGACATGAGGTCCAGGTCAGAGGACAACACGTGACACATGAGGTCCAGGTCAGAGGACAACACGTGACACATGAGGTCCAGGTCAGAGGACAACACGTGACACATGAGGTCCAGGTCAGAGGACAACCCGTGAGACTTGAGCTCTGAAGACAACATGGGATGGTGCTGGTCCTCACCTGTCTCTCTTTCTGGGTCTTGTCCTCCTTCAGCTTTGACGTGTCTGTGTAGATCTGACAGAGATTCTTCTTCTGTGGTGACGGCGGTTATTGTCCCAGGTTTAGAAGACAGCGAGGACAAATTGGGCAGCGTGGCCTCCTCCTCCTCCTCCAGGACTTTGGCGGGAAGAGGAGCGCTGGCGGCGCCGTTGCCGTTTGTGGCCTCCGTTGCCGTGGTTACCATCAGTCCTTTGACGTCCTCTATCACCAGAGCTCCTGTCGTTGTGGGCGCCACCGTGCTGGACTCCGCCATGGTCAGCTGACCCGCTGGAGAATGGGAGCGGGAAGTAACTCCTTACTGACTGGAACACTACGATTAGAAAAACGATGTCAGGACGTTGAAAAGCTTCCTTCTGCTTTAAGTCCGGGGCTTTGCCACAACATGGCCCCCGGCGGAGCCCGCTCACGAAACAAACGCACCTGTTAGACCTTGAACATGGCGCGTTAAATGAAATATATCGGAATAGACTTGAAGGCAGATCTCCTGCTTCTCCCTCTTCTTCTCTCCTGCTGACAGGAAGTCGCAAGCTGGATTAAGTCCTTGCAGTCAGTTAGGAGGATCTTCTTCTGCTGTCAGCAGAGTGTCAACAGACTTCCTGTCTGTCCTGAGGAGACACAAATAAGAAGAACCCGTCGGTCAGGTGGCGGGTTTGGATTCCTCATCAATGTTGTACTGAAAGAGGTCATTAAATTACTTCAGAGATGATTTGAATCCAAAACCAAAGATCAAATGTAATGTTTAATCAACAAATACCTGATCCTACGTTTCCCACAATGCACCTCGACAAGCACTGTCGTCACAGACAGACACAGAGCCTGATGACATCAGTAGCTTGAAGCTTTAAACGTTTCTTAATATTCAATCTCTGACTGTAAATGTCATCATCATCCTCACCACAATCATCATCACATCATTGTCGTCCTCATCATCATCCTCATCATCCTCCTCACCACAATCATCATCATCATCCTCACCAAATCCTCCTCATCATCATCACATCATTGTCGTCCTCATCATCATCATCCTGACCACAATCATCACCATCATCATCACATCATTGTCGTCATCATCATCAGCATCATCATCATCCTCACCACAATCATCATCATCATCATCATCACATCATCATCATCATCATCTGAGCTAAACCGACATCCAGGAGTAAGAGCTCACGTGACCTTCGCCACTGGAGACCCGGATGTGTTGAGCTCATTTGAGCAGTTAGTATCTAAAATAAGTCTGAAGATGCGCGTGAGGTCGTTCAGTGAAACCGCACGCGTCGCTCCGGTCAGAGATGTCGGTTAAAACTCGATGGCGAGACCATCCCGGGTGTCAAACGTCCGACACAGAGCCGAAGGATCGCGGGCAGCTCACGGACTGTGTGTCGCCGTCATCTCCCAGAGCAAGCTAGCATGACGACAGCATGACGATATCACTCGGAACTAACCGGGCCAAGCTAACTGTGGTTCCGGAGACACGGGCCGCGACCTTCTCCATCGCGCTCAGAAACAGTACAACGACACGCGGCTTACCGGCACCGAGTGTGTCCGTCGTTGTGCTGGAGGGTAAGACGAGCATGCTAGCTGTTTACATCCCGTCTCCGCCAGGCACACACGAAGCCCCGCCCACAAGCCAATACACAACAACGCCAGTGGACGTCACATCCGGTCGACAACCATATATATATATATATATAAAGGGTAGGGCCCTTTCGCAATACCTAAGACGGCGAGAACGGACTTGCGTTCCCGCGAGAATAGACTCGGGAGACGGACTAGGAAGTCCTGACTCACGTCCGTCATAAACTAATTAGGCAAAATATCTCAAGAGCTGCTGAACTTTACTGGATTACACTGGCAGTTGTATCTAATATTTATTCATATTGGATGGACGAAACACATAAGGAGAACATTCAATTCAGGCCGGTTGTATTCCATCACATTGCATTAGCTTTATAAAGGTTCAACAATTGAACAGTTCATATTTTACTGGATACCTTCCATAAGTGTCCTCGTACAGTTAAATTGATAGACATCACTATAAACTAAATTGAAATTGTACCTGAAGCTCTTCTGTGTCTCTACATTAGTTGTGATTAACATCATCGTATTTTGTGTATATAATATTGTGATCAATGAGGCTACAAACTGTAAGATGACATCATTAGTGATTAACGTCATAGTATTTAATATCTATGATACAGTGACCATGGAGGCTACAGGTAAACTCTCACACTTTCAAACAATGAAAGAAATAGAAACAGTTTCAAGCAGCTGACCAGACATCAAATATCTTACAGAGAAATATTCAATAATTCATATGTGGAAATATATTTATTTGTTATTGTTGCAATTACAACAGTCACTTTGCAGCTGACGCCCTGCTGCTGGTTTAGAGTCTCGATGACGGTCTCCTCACGTCCTTTAATTAAAACATTGGTAGTTTGAATGATGGACAATAACAAGCTGCACACTGTGGATACAGACACAGTTCAATGCAAACATAAAGTTATGGATCTAAACTTGGCCGTCAAACAGACGCAACGTTTCCGGTGAACAAACATCAGTCTGACAACACATCGAGGGTTATGAAGACACACGCGTGTGTGTGCACAGACGGAGGGCAGGGCCGGTGTGCTCAGCAGGAAGCGGCTTGCACGTTGCCATGGTAACAGCGCGCCACACCCACAGAGGAAGAAAGGTAAAGGTGTCAGCTCATAAACTACCTGTGATCAGGTGCGTCCGGCTGTCTGCTGAAGGACCGCCATCGGAGCTGCTGTGAGTCTTTGAGCTTCGGTTCTTTCCTCCTGGTTGAGGTTCCTTTGCTAGTTGGGTGAGGAAGAAGAAGAGGGGAGTAAACCAAGCAGAGCGAGTCAGTAACTAGATAAGAGAGTTATCCCTGAGAAAAAAAACAAACCTGTCAGATATTTGACAACTTCTACAGTTAAGGTTTAATTAATGTGACAAATAACGCACTACAGGAAGAAAGTTCAGCTTCATGTAAAAATAAGAGACGTTCAACCAGAGTTAGTTTGCTTATGTTATCGATTGATTGATCAGTCATGCTACTTGTTTCACAATGCGTCACGTTCTCTCGTAAAACCCGTATAAACGTGACGTTGAAGCTTAACTGCAGCAAGCATTGATCTGCAGGAACAACATGGAGTCCAGAGGAGAAGAAGCAGAGGAGAAGCCAGCGACGCTCCTCGCCCAGTATGTCCCATTCACTTGAAACTCGCCCTCTAAAAAAAGCCTCTCTGACCCCTAAACTCTGTCTATAACTTTCTGCCATTTCAAAAAAAAATGTTTAATTCTTTTGCAAACTCTTCCCACACGCTGGGTCCGGTTGAGACCCGAAAGGCTGTGGATTCCTTTATAGATCTGGACAATGAGAAGTTATTATTATTATTAGTTATTGTCTCTGCTGGTTCGCAGCCTGGTCCCTGAACACGACCAACGACACGTCTCCGCTTTGTGCAGCTAACAACCCTTTCTGTTAAAGTCTCACTATATGTCTGTCTGCAGGTCAACTCCTGATACTACTACTAGTACTACTGTTAGTACTATCACTGATGCTGCCAGTACTGATACCGATACCACTACTACTGGTACTGCTGCTAGTAGTACTTCACCTACACGCAGGACCTCTGAGGAAGTGACAGGTACTGATTCCTCTGACACAAAGTCTCTGGCAGACGAGGAGGAAGCAGCAGAAGAAGAAGAAGAAGAAGCAGCTGGAAACAAGGAAGGTGAGGAAGACAAGGTCCATTCTTCTTCACATTTGTCACCCAGCAGAGAAGCCGACGAGTCCATCAGAGTGTTACCATGACAACACAATGATCAACATTAGTGAAGTAATACTAGTATTTATAGTTTTGATTAGTTAAAGCTTTAAATCGTTTTCTCCAGGGGGATCCATTATTCTGCCGTCATGGAGTTTGAAGCTCGTGTCATATTTATTTATTAGTTTATTCTAAGCTCAGGTGTCCTCCCCCCGCATGTCTTCGTCTCTGTTTCCTGTCCTACTTCCTGCTGTGGACCAGTTTGTTTCAAAGCATCAATGTCGTTCCAGTAGAGAGAGAATGTTACAACATCATCAGTCATGATAACAGCTACACGCAATGTATGATGTCACTTCCTGTCTGCAGCTCCACCCACCTCTCTGCGTCTGTCACAACCAACAAAGAAGAAAGTCCTGGTGGCTCCGGCTCTCAGTCTGTCGTTGGGTAATTATATAATTCATGATAACAGGAATAGTGATGATAAATATACTATTATTAAAAACTATACTATCATATTAATAATAATACTGATAGTAAAGGGAATAATAATAATGGTAATGCCAAAAATAACAATAATAATATTTATAGAAAAAAGTACAATAATAGGAATAATAATAATAGTACAATAATGATAATAATGATAATAATGGAAGTAATAATAACAATAGTAGCCATAATAATGATAATAACGATCATGCTAAAAATAATAATCCTAATAGCAACAATACTCCTGCAGGTCGCAGTGAGTCCACAGTCTCAGGCGACTTCCCCTCGACCTTCCTCTCGCCCCCCGCTGAGGACGGCGATGACATGTGGCTGGACCTCAACCTGGACGGCATGGAAACGCCCTCCGACAGCGGCTCGCTGCCCTTCCCCATCTACGACCCGCAAGGTGAGAGGTCAAAGGCGCTGGCGGATGACCACCTGCTAACGGAGACGACTTCACGGGTCTGTCGTTGCAGATGACATGCGGCGTCTCGGGGTGGCGTCCCAGCGGCGCCGGCTGTCCTGGGGCCGCGGCCCCCGGTGCGGTTCTAGACTATCGAACCAAAGTGAGCCGGGAGATCTGGAGCGGGAGGACGAGGTGGACGAGGGGGGCACCAGGTGGCGCTGCTTCTCCGTGGGCGACCCGCCACAGGAGAGCCGGGTCAACATGAGCGTGCTGGAGCCGTTCCTCAGGGTTCTGTCGCACGGAGGTACGGCGGACTCACCTGTCTGACGCCTCACCTCGGCTTTAACGCGCTCTGTCCTCATCTCTCAGGTTATTATGGAGACGGAATGTACGACGTCATCGTGTTCTCTTCCTGTTACCTGCCGCAGAACCGTCTGGAGAACTACCAGAATGTGATGGACCACTTGTTCAGGTAGGAGACGGGACCGTTCGATCCAAAAGTACAATTGAACCAAATGCTAACACCTGACTGTTTGTTAGCTTCAGCATCCTTTGTCAATGGGTGACGTCCACCTGTGGGCCTGCAGGTACGTGGTGGGGACCCTGGACCTGATGGTGGCAGAGAACTACGTGATGGTGTACCTGTGTGCTGGAGGTCAGAAGGACAAGCTGCCGGGAATCAGCTGGCTGAGGGACGGATACACCACCATCAACAGGAGGTACCGCTCCACTTCCCGTTTGACTCCCTGTTCCACCCCTGCCACACGGCCTGGGTGAACCTGTGTAGTGTGATAACAACGTGTGTGTGTGCAGGTTGAGGAAGAACCTGAAGGGTTTCTATGTGGTTCATCCAACCTGGTACATCAAAGCACTCATCACCATCATCAGACCGTTCATCAGGTCCTCATCTTCCTCCTCTTCTTCCTCGGGATTAATCATCAGCCACTCGGGGGCCGTCCAGATGTTTAGACTTCATTTTTGGGCAGCTGTCATGTCGCCCAGCCTGTTTAGTAGCAAACCCAAGATGTATCTTTGTTCTTCCTCCTCCTCCTCCTCCTCAGCTCTAAGTTCAGCAGGAAGCTCCAGTTCGTCGGCAGCCTTCAGGGTCTTTCTCAGCTCGTCCCCACTGAGCATGTGCAGGTCCCGGACTGCGTCTCACTGTGAGTGTTACACAAAAGAGGAATATATTTAAATACTCATTTTAATCTAAATATTCTTGAAACATCCTTTATATATTTCATATAATCACATATATTTTTACAACCATCACCTTAAATGATGAAAACATTTACTAACGATAAGGTGGTAATTACTAATCTATTTATGTATTATTTAAAATAATGATAAATGATCACAATTATAATAATAATAAATATATTATGATAATTTACTCATTTTACCCTGTCATTGGACGGGAAAAACAATACTGATGGAAATAATATCATCTTTACCATAACTCTGCATTGTTTCATTCATCCTTTTGAGCCAAAGCCTCCGCTGTGAAAATCGCACGCAAAAACACACAAAGTCTATGTGAATTATTTTTGTGTCCCAATAGACGGGAAAACTTATGAGTTTGTTCATAAATATCAGTGTATATGTGAGTGAGTAAGTGAAGACGCACACAGCACAAATAACATTTTTCAGAAGGAAAATCCATATATCCCTTTAAATGTGGATCTATTAGGCCAAATCACAGCACAATAAGTCAACAGATGAGTGACAGGTCCAGGAATGCGACGAGCTCAGTCTTGGCAAAATATGATCTTCTTTTAGTTGTTGGTGAAGTTGTGTTCAAACAGCTCAGCTAACATTTTTTATATTACATCACATTACATCACGTCATCACATGTCATTTATCTGACGCTTTTATCCAAAGCGACTTACAATAAGAACATTTCAACCATAAGGACACAAACTCACAAGAACAAGAAACAAGAAAGTGCAAATTCATAAGAACCATCATAAGTCCAGTGTAAGTGCTGCAGGGAGTTAGTGTGTTAGTCTGAAGAGGTGTGTCTTTAGTCTGAAGAGGTGTGTCTTTAGTCTGAAGAGGTGTGTCTTTAGTCTGAAGAGGTGTGTCTTTAGTCAGAAGAGGTGTGTCTTTAGTCTGAAGGGGTGTGTCTTTAGTCTGAAGAGGTGTGTCTTTAGTCTTCGTCGGTCCCCGTCCAGGTTTAAAAAGACACAAGACGTGTCTTCAGGTTCATTCATGAAAATGTAACAAGCTTTTTAATCATCTTTACCAGTAAATGAAGCCGCTGATGTGGCCTGTGCTCCCTGCAGGTACGACCAGAGTCTGACCAGGTGAAGCAGGACGTCTCCTCACGTCTCCTCAAACCATGAGGAGAAGATAAATGATGTATCGCAACCGGCCGTGACATTTAATCATCTTTAATGACCAAGTTCTATGTTATTATTACTATGTTGTATTGTTGTGTGAGATAAACTTTACAACGTGAGCGTCTTTCTTTTTTCATTTCAACATGTTTCTATAAATGTTTGTGTGATTGTTTGTGATTTCGCAGCGACACTGAAGACGCTCATTGTTGTCGACCTGCTGAGGTCACGCTTTAACCTCGTTAGGAGAACCGCGCTGGTTCTTCAGCACCGAGCAGACGGGCTGAACGCGACTCCACGTTTGATGAGTCATTGATTGATGATTGATGCACAACGGAGCCGCGTTAATGTTTGTGTGTTAAACCCAGCGGCTGGTCAGGAGAAGGAAGCGACAAACAGGAACACAGAGGTGTGTGTGTGTGTGTGTGTGTGTGTGTGTGTGTGTGTGTGTCTGTCTGTGTGTGCACGTGTGTGTCACAGACACACACATGCACACACATGCACGTACACACACACACACGCACACACACGCACACACAGAATTAAAGCCCTGCGGCCTCCCAGCTGATGGGGTGAATTAGGAAAACCATCTACTAGGTCATCTACATGCAGAGTGGAGATAAGACGCTAGTCGCCATGACAACACCCGTTGGGTTGTGGGAGTTTTGAAACCTTCAGCATCCCGTCACCATCTTTATGTTTAGTCATCACCATTTTGGTTCGTCGTCACTGTGGCGTTTTAGCGTTTAACCATCATGGTTTGATCCTCATCAGGAACATTTCAACACGATCATGTAAACGCACCGATTTATTGAGCCACGTGTTACATAACAAGGAATCAAGTCAAGTGACATCACCTTATTAGCATTAGCAATAATTAGCATTATTCTCTAATCCGACCTGCTGGCCAATTGTCATTGAATTAATATCACAAACCTAATAAAGCACTCATTGATTTTATAGTAAACTCTTTGTTTAGGAACTGCAGCTCATCGGTTCATATCACATTAGCTTTTATTTGAGACGTTTAACGGCTTTAATCCCCAACTGATTCATCGAATTTTAACTGCTAAATAAACAAGAAATCAATTATACAAATACGTTTAATAGAACATCTTTGAAAGAAACAGACCACAGAGGTGACTGTGATGACGGATGGACCCGCGTCTCGTTCCCTCCAGTCAGGTTGTGATTCCCGTCAGCTGATTGCTGTCACATCACGCGGGTCTTTCACAGGAGGGGAGAGTTTAGAAAACTCTGACATCGCGAGGAGTCCATGAAGGCAGCGGGCGAGCGGAGGAAAAGAAATATATAAAATATAACAAATATAATTACAAATCATATGGTTGCATAATGTGAATGAAAGAAAAAGAAATCAAGCAAAACTGAAGTGATGTTCTAACCCAGAGGGAGACAGAGAGGCCGTCGCCACGGTGACGGGAACCTGCCACTCGACTGGTTTCCACGGTAACCATCTTGTTCTGGCCCTTTTTTTATGACTTTGCTTGAAACGATCACTAATGTTTTACTTGAAATAATTGATGAATTCTTTTCTACCTAAACAGACGTTCTGTCGAGAATAATTAATTAATAATTTGGGGCTTTGATGAGTTTTATTTCTGGCTTAAACCAAACTAAATAAATTAAACAGGATTTTATATTGTTAAAACCACAAATTTAAAACTGAAATATTTCTACATTAATACAGCAACACAAATGTAATAGGACGGTTAAATGTTTAAATAAAATGTGTTTAAAAATAGAGAGAATGTTGAGTTTAGGAAAATGTTTTCATAAAGTGCCGTTATTAAACTTTCTGTGAAATTTGAACCAACAACCAACTTTCCCACGATCGTCTCGTATCAGAGATCTACGCGTGACATCGAGAAGCAAAGCACCAAAAAACTGCAGAAAATACACATCGGTTTAGAAAAGTCAAAGTATGAAGCAGATAAACATTTGATCGGCCACCAGGAAATACTCAGAACAACCCCCCCAAATACTAAACGTTGGTGCAGGTCCGTCCCCTCGGGGCCAGAGGACCCGATTCAGGGACCAGAGCCACAGCTTGAGTCACAGGAGATTTGAGCTGTCATACGAACACACACACACACACACACACACACACACACTAGACTTTCCCTCCTGCGCAGAATGAGGCATCCTGGGAGTTGATGATGTCATCACTACGGCCATGTGACCAGTGACTGGGGGGTCATGATCCATTAGAGGTGAATACAGAGGGAACGTTTCAGCTTTCTTCTTAAACGCACACGCGTGTCGTCCCGGGGAGATGAAGTCCGGTGATGTCGTCGCTCCCTGACGCTTTAATACTGATTTTCCAGTGTTCTCCTCAGAGGAGAAGCGCTCTGCTCGACGGGGGTCGCAGGGGGGGAGGTCAGAGGTCGTCGCTCAGCCTGTCCAGTTAAAACACTCAGCTGGTTACAACTGTGGAGATTAAGAGGTTTTATTGGTCAAACGCTTCACTTTGTTTAATTTTTCATTAAAAAGTACAAAAGCAGGTGAAATATTTAAAGATTTTTGGGGATCTTTTTTAACAAAAGCTAAAGAGCTTGAAAGAAATGAAGCTGCAGCAGCTGAACTGAAGAGAGTCGGCGAAGGGAAACGAGCTGATGAGATGAACTGAAAGCAGCTGAAGCGCTAAAGGTTTCATGTCAAGCTGGAGGAAGTTGAAGTGGCTGAAGTCAACGGATGAGACCGTCACAAGTTTCCACAAGCCTAAGAATGTTCAGGACAACATGCAAAGTGGACAAAGGAGTTAATGAATGAAGTGGAAGCGTCAATCATGTCAAAGTAGTAATTCATCATTTGGTTTATCGGTGTCATGGACATAAAGTGTGAGTTCATGTGTGGCAGCATTGAACGTACTGAAACGTGCGTTTACCGGCTATAACAGGCCGTTCCCGCCGTTCGTACTCTGACCTTTTGACCTCATCTGTTCTTGTACCGGCCCCGACTGTACACACACACACACACACACACACACACACACACACACACACACGGTCAATATACTTGAAAACGTCATTACAGTTTTTCTCAGTCGCTTTGGAACATTTCTCAGATCACAATTGAAATCCTCAGAAGTACCTCCCCCCCCCCCCCCCGCCAACTAGCGGGGGGGGCTCCTGTGGTCTAAAAGCGGCGTTCTGTGTTTCAAAACTCCGCCCATCCCTCCTAAAAACTCGTCGAAGCATCCCAGCATCAGCTGTCTATTACTGAATCGTACGGACACAAACCACACTGATGGCATGAAGTTAGAGTTAAAACACTCAACGGAGCCCCGTTATTAATGGACGTGGCTGAAATCAGGTCATCATAGTCGACAAGCCCAAGTTGTATTGGGGCGCTCGCTCCTTTTGCTTGACGCACGCTCCCGATCTTGAATCTAGAATCGATTGCTCTTCCTTGGGTTCCCGGATGTTGCGGTTGAATTTTTTGCGGTTGAATTTTTTGTGGTTGAATTTTTGCGGTTGAATTTTTTGTGGTTGAATTATTTGTGGTTGAATATTTTAATGTTGAAAAACATTCAGATACATGATTTCAATGCATAAATATTCAACTGCAAAAAATTCAATCACCTTTTTCTTTCAAAATCCGATGACACAGATTTACTTCCATAGGAATGTTCTCAGCGTGGAGATGGAATAAGAACAGCAGCCACGTCCACAGATGCATGGATGCATCACAGCAGAGGCTGGATGAGACACTAAGATTCCTTCCACGCTGCATCACAAGAGAAGATATTTGTTGTGATGTGGATGAGAATCTGTTGCTCAACAGCAAAGAGCATCAGGAGAACTTGTTTTCAGAAATGCACATACTGTTGAGGATGATTCGAGAAATGTACCAAAGCAACTGAGAAAAACGGTAATATTTAACAAAGTAGAAAAGGACGGACCATATTGGCAACACTATTAGGACACGTAGACAAACAGACAGATGTGAGGGTTTCAGGACAGAGGATGTCGCATGTGCACAAACTGTAAAGCCACATGAGGCTAATTTGTAGTTTGCGATTTTGGACTGTACAAAATAAAATGAATTGACAGACAGACAGACAGACAGACAGACAGACGGGTGTTGCGTCTCACCGGCTGAAGTCCCTCTGCCATCTCTCCAGAGCCGATGTGTGTGAGGTGGATGAAGTTTGTCGGATCTCCGATCATACTGCGATCAATCTTCCTCCTCCTCTTCTTCTTCTACACACACGCACACACACACACACACACACACACACACGCACACACAGGTTAGCAGTGAAGTGCAGCAGTGTGTGGGTTTCTCTTCATCCTGACATCATCTTCAGATTCAGATTAAACTGTGAATATCTTCAGAATCAAGATCTGTTGAATTAAATATAATAAATGAGGAAATTATTTTAGCTTCAATTGTGTCAGTTGTAACACGAACATTGAAATTGAATAGTAAAACAAACAATTTGAGAGTTATTCATAATATTTTGTCTAGTTCCATTACAATCTATGATATTCAAAATTGTGTTATTTCATCTTAAAGTTGTTTTTCTCTATTTTGTCTTTTTTATTTCTGATTGGTTGAGAGTGAGTCACGGGGGAGACACAGGGGACATGTTTTCACCGTCCAAAAACAATGTTACGCTATGGTAAACAGAGACGCGTCGCGCACTAGGACCAAGCGGACAAACGGCCGCTCAAGCTGAGCCTGTCTCCCTTCGTTTAGACCCGCCCACAAGCTCCTCCATTGGCTGTTGCTGCTGCTTGTGTGATTGGCCGTCCCCGCTGTCACTGCATCAGGTTGTAACCGGTCTGCTAGTTGCCGATGACGCGCTGTTACTCTGCCACTGTAAGTTGTGCGTTTGTTTTGCCCGTCAGCTCGAAGGATTGTGTGACAATGTGCTTACTGGACATGTTCTCTGTCACCAGCAGCCCTGTAACTGGAAAAAGTAGCAGTGGAGTGACTGGCAAAAACCGTTGGTAGCGGCAGCTACCGCTAACGCTAACCGCCAACTGTTTGGCTCCTAGCCTTCAAAGTAATAATAAAGCAATAAGTAATAAAGCAATAAGTAATAAAGTAATAAGCCTTACGGACATTTTATTTAATTTCCACCTGTGATATTCCTGCCAGTTTGACTAGCTATGTAAATGAGGTCTGTTTACCATATATTCCAAAAATAAGTGTGAAATAAATGGTACTGAGTTGGAGTGAAGTTGACTAACAAGGTGAAACACAGAATTGGGTGATAATGTTTTGCTACATGCTTTATAACCAGTTAAACCAAAAAGGGAACAGTGAACTTAAAAGTAGCAATAGAAAACTATTAGAAACTACTAGAAAACACGGTGAACTAAAAAGGTTAGTTTTATTAAAAATACTTGTGTCTCCCACTTCTGAAATGAAAATGTCGTCCCTGCTGCCGCGTGTTTCTGCGTCTTCACGCGTCGACGCACTGGTTTCACTTCCTGGTTGTAAAGTCCTGCGTGTGTTGCAGAGCGATTCACCTCCAGAACAACAGGTGGAGTCACGTGTTTTGTTGAAGACGACCTAGAGAGTCACGTCTTTGTGTGTGGAAGTCGTTGGTTGCTTTATTTATGTATCATAGACTTTATTGCCCCGTGCATCCACACTGCTGCTTTGCATCAAGGACACATTTGTCCCGTATTTTCCTCCACGACTTTGTCCCCCTCGTTTGTGGAGATCTCCCTCCATGAATCAGAGGCCATCCGGCGTCCTCATAGTCCGCCAATGACGGCTTGTACAAGCGCTCATATTTAAAAGCTCTTCAATCTGATCCGTTCTCTCGTCAACATTCTTCCTTTTAATAACGGCCGTATTGTGCTGTGAAAACGGAGACGTGAGACTCTAAAGGACGTAGTTAGAGACCAATCACAGCCTGCTGCTGCAGGAGGCTGCGCCGCTTTAGACGCATGTCTAGAAAAATGGGTCGACGCACGCGAGGAGGCGTGAAAAGACACGCGAGGGACACGTAAGGGACACGCAAGGGACACGTAAGGGACACGTAAGGGACACGCAAGGGACACGCAAGGGACACGCAAGGGGCTCTGTGTGTCTGTGTGTCCTTGCGTCTCTCTGAAAACACAGAAGCATAAACTAGGCATAAGTAAATTAGTCACTAGCGTCCCAGGACGGTTGGTCTGCAACATGCTAACATAATAGCTAACATGCTAACATAACAGCTAACATGCTAACCTCACAGCTAACGTGCGTCTCTCTGAAGACGCAGAAGCATAAAGTGGGCTTCCCTGTGGTGTCTCACCGGCGGGGCCTTGGCCACCACGCAGCAGCCCATCTTGTGCCAGAAGTCGCTCATGCCGACGCTCTGCCGGTCCAGCGGCCAGCCGCCGCTCTCTGCTGCCGCCCTGCAGGCCGGGTGGTGAACTGTGGCCAGTGGATGATCCCGGGGCATTCAGACAAAACGTGCTCCGGCAAGTAAAAAAAAAGAGAGGAAAAGCTGTCCAGTAAAGGACTCAAAAAACACAAAAATGGCACAATCCCAAAATACGTTAAAGTCCGGTGTCGAAAAAATAAAGTTTGAGTTTTATTATCCAAACTGTGATGACTTCTTATAGTTTATCTGTGGAGGAAAAAATAAGCAAGTTAAGGACACAAATTGGACATCTGATTTTAAATGATTACCTTTTAAAAACGTAATCTAAACTTTTACATTTTTGTTACCCTTTCTGGGTTTTACGATTCCTCTAATCACACCTGGAGGTAGATCAATTAAAAAAGATCTCTCCGTCTCTCAAAACTAGACATTTAGTCGCTGATTTAATCAGTTAACCCTCTTATGATGAACCCCGGCGCCGACGACGGGAATCCGAGAAGCTAACATCATGAACCCGGATCATAACACACACACACCTTATCACCTTATGACATTATGACATTATGACATTATCACCTTATCACCTTATCACCTTATCAAATTCTCACATTATCACCTTATCACCATATAACATTATCACATTATCACATTATCACTGTATCACATTATCACCTTATCACCTTATCAAATTCTCACATTATCACCTTATCACCATATAACATTATCACATTATCACCGTATCACATTATCACATTATCACCTTATCACTTTATCACATTATCACCTTATCACATTATCACCTTATCACTTTATTACCTTATCACATTATCACCGTATCACATTATCACCATATCACATTATCACCTTATCACATTAGCACCTTATCACATTATCACCATATCACATTATCACCATATCACCTTATCACCTTATCACATTATCACCATATAACATTATCACATTATCACCGTATCACCATATAACATTATCACCGTATCACCTTATCACATTATCACCATATAACATTATCACATTATCACCGTATCACCATATCACCGTATCACCATATCACCGTATCACATTATCACATTATCACATTATCACCATATCACCTTATCACATTATCACCATATCACCTTATCACTTTATCACTTTATCACATTGTCACATTATCACCTTTGCTGCTTTCAGAACTCTTAATTCCCAGCATTTTTTTTCTTTTCTGTTTTGTTCTGTGTGCAATGCAAACACATAGATATTCATACTCGTATTCTGATATGTAAGGACACTTACAAGTGATTTATCATGACATCAAGAGTTTAAGATAAACCTGTTTGTTTCATAAATATGTTATTTTTAGTTTTAGTAAATATAATTTCCAGCAGAGGCCTAAAAAGCAGCCGGTGCAGAACGAACGGACCAGTGTGTCATCTGCGTGAAGAGAAGGTTCTGTTTGGTCTACTACACACGTCAATCAAAAGATTCTCACATCCTCATTCTCTTAAATACCTGATAACATGGAATGTGTATTAATGCGCGATGTCACAGTTAAATCAACACATTCATTAATAAATAACAAAGAATTAACATAAAATCTCCAAAACAACGTCTCCAGACTTTCTGTTGGTCCTCACAAGGATAGAAGAACAAGAACTCTTCAGCACAGTGAACACGTATGACTAAACACTGGGTGTGGTCACACACACACACACACACACACACACACACACTCAGCTTTAAACATGTATTTCTTTCCTCTTCTGGCGTCACGTTGTTGCTGTTTACTCATTGTGTGTCGTGTCTTCCGGCGACTCGTTAAACATTTACTTCCACCTTTCTGGACTTTGTCCAAAACATTTGAGCAGATAAAGAAAGAATGTGAGTAGAAACATGTTGCTTCACGTTTCGTTCAACAAATCAGTTCATCTGCTCGTTGTACAATTACTTTTCGTCTTGCATGTTCAGTAGTTGTACTACAGTGTGGTACCAGTGTGTGTACTTGTACCCCCGTCTGTGTCATCGACTCAGAAAGGAAACTTTATTTTTCCTTCGAGTTGCTCCACAAAGTCCAACTTCCCAAAACTCAAACTGGCAGCAGGGCGGATCGTACCATCTACAGGCGGGGGGCTGTGTGTGTGTGTGTGTGTGTGTGTGTGTGTGTGGGTGTGTGTGTGTGTCGTCTCCACACAGATTTCCCGTTGTTTCTGCTCATGCTGACATCATGGGACAAAAATTCTCACACACACACACACGCACACACACACACGTGCTTTTCAGTTGGAGCTTCAGAGACTTTTTGAACCGTCCAATTGCATTGTGGGAAACGTAGGAGTCCGTGCGTGTTGATCTGAACACGTCTCAACAAGCCGGTCAAACCGAGGGAAACTTTTATTAAAGTCAACGTTTGATCACCACAGAACTTACTTACATGTGTACAAGTACACATACACACAGAACATTTAATTCATTGTAATTTAGCAATGTTTTTTATAAGAAACCAGTGACTAACATTTTAAACAACAACCCGGTGGTTTAAAACTCCAGACAACAATTGTTTTTCATTGTGTTTTCAGTTCCACTTCCTTGTTTCCAAACTCAGACGCTCACTTCCTGCTGCACGCATCACTTCCTGTTCAGCACAAAGAGGTCGCTGATGACAATCAACATGAATGATCCGAGTTCCTTTCATTCAGAGACTCTAAAGGAAAATAAGAATCACACAAAGTGCCTCCAGACCCACAACAGGACCTAAAAGGACCAACAACACCACACACGACATGTGCTGCTTAGCTTAGCTTAGCTTCTTAGCTTTGCACAGAGACTGGAAACAGGGAAACAGGCAGCGCGTCTCCGACCAACGGAAACGTCTTCACCTCGAGTCTCGTGCTGGAACTACTTTTCCTCACAAATGTCTGCGTGTTCCTCCGCCACGACGAGTAGATGCAGCTTTTTGTTTGTGTCGAAAAACAGCGACATCGTGATTAATATATTGGATAAATGCATCGCAGAACCGCGCTAATCACACTTCCCTGTGTGCGTGTGTGTGTGTGTGTGTGAGAGTGTGTGTGAGTGTGTGTGGACATGGAGGCTGGAGGTTAAATCCACTCCTCTGCACGGCGGTCACAGTCCAGCAGAGATTCATTTGAGAATTTGGGCTTTAAATGGTGAGAAGATTCCCACGTGGTCCACAGGTCCACATCGCCGGGGCAACAATGCGTTCCCACCACAACAACAGGGGTCAGTCCAAAACCACCCAGTTAGAGACACATCGTGAAAAAAAACATCTGTACTGGTTCATCGGACAGACATGGTTCTGTTTGAAGACCTGAACCACTTAGTAAAGAAACCAAGACCTGAACCAGCACAGATGGAGACCAGAAGCAACAAGCAACAGGAAACATGAAGGACACGATGGTCTTCCTGACCTCAGCAGGAATTACCCAGAGACCAAGTGACTCGGATAGAGACGTTTTACACACACACATGTCTCAGGGGGGCACTCTGAGCAACGTCTCGTGTTAACCTTTGACCTTTGACCAAATAATCAAATCACAGAATGGTCGTTCCTCTCCTCTACCAACATCCAGTGATTTATCACACATGTAATCACACGTGTGCTAACGCTAGCCCAGCAAAGCGTCTTCATGTGGTCTGAAATGTCTCTGGCGGTCAGGTGGAGGAGAAAGACTCACCTGGAGGAGACCGGAGGCGAGTGTCGAGCTGGAAGCTTCAGACTGAGCCCAGAACCAGCTGTGATCCAAAGTCTCTGCCCCCCCCTCTCCAGTTGGGGTGTGGCTCCACCAGGAAACCAGCCTCCACTTCCTGCTGCTCCTCGTCCAGCAGCTCCTCCTGCTGCCGCAGCACACGCGCTGCACTCCGGTCCTCCTGCCGCCCAGCCGCACACGGCCCATGTGGTTCAGAACCACGAGGCCAGACCTGGTCTCAAGATGCTCACGGATGTTATGAAAGATGGAAAATCCTTTCAATTAACAGTGAATCAAACACATTCATTTAAAGTTATTAGCTGAAAATGAAAAAATCCAAATATTTCAGAATCAGGAAACATTTATTGCCAAAATATGTCATACGTACAAGGACACATAATATTTTAACGTTTTATTTAGTTTACTATAACATTTGAAATTCAGGTTCTGTACTTATGGAACTGCGTGGTTCTAATTGTATGTTTAAATTATTGATCTGTCTTTAAATAGAGCGTTCGTTTATATGTGTATGTTTGTGTGTCCCGCACATACCGGAAGTTACAATTTATCTTTCAAAATAAATGCAAAAATCAACCTCTGAGGCTCAAACCTCCTGGTACATTATTTGACAGCGTTAGCTCTTAATCAAATGAATGAAACATCAAAATAACAGTGAATTATCAGGTTTGAACATGAAACATTAAAACACATGTTGATTTTAGGGCACGCTGTTTGTTTTACTTAAATGTGTTCAATAAATTAATACTTTAAGAATGTTGTTTTACATTACATCACATTACAGGTCATTTAGCAGACGCTTTTATCCAAAGCGACTTACATTACACTTTAAACCCATGGCTTTTTCACATTTTTGCCCGGGGAGCAATTAGGGGTCAGGTGTCTTGCTCAGGGACACTTCGACATGGAACATGGGGCAGCCTGGAATTGAACCACCAACCTTGTGCTTCACCTTCTCTAACCCCTGCGCCACGACGACCCCGTTTTATATATATAGAGACACATTATTGTCACCTTATTTGACATAATGAATATTCTCTTTATTATGTTTTGTAGAGGCATTAATGTCATATTGAATTATTGATCTGCATGCCGTCAGACTGTACTGTAATTTCAATTTCATTCTTTTACAAAGAATATCTTACTTTATTTAGGAACCACTGATCAAAATACAGAACATCTATTTTATATATACTACCAGTCAAACGTTTTCTCATTAAACCAAATGCAAAAATATGTCCAAAGGTTGACTTGTGCCATAAACAAATAATACGTTGGCTATTATTTGTAAATATATTCAATGTGTGAACGTGTTTTTTTAAGCCATGAATGAGTTAATTAACTAAAGAGAAAAATGGGCTTTTCTTTTGAAAGGTACAAGCGGAAGTCCTATGTATACTCAGGTGAGCTTGACGCACGCGCAGAGCTCATTTCACCTGCAGTGTCAGAGAAGCATCGTCTGAAACCAAAGGGGAAACAGAACAAAGAAGAAACCCTCAGAAACCTTCACTTTCTCACCGGAAGCACGAAGGTAAACACACGTCACTGTCATCACATCACGTCATATGTTTCTGCGTTTTGAGTGGCAGCTGGTCACTGGTGTTAAAACCTGGAGGTTTAAGGATGGCGGTGATGCATCAAGTCCACTCGGTGAGCAGCAGAGACGCGGCCAACGCCTCTGATCAACCCGATCGATGATCGATAACAACGCTGCATCCATAACAAACAGGCAGCTCACGCGAATCATGACTCGCTGCGGTTCGTCCGAACCGGAGAACCTGCGTCTCGCGTTAAATCAGAAAAAACATGAACGCAGTCTGGTTGATGGACCACCGCTTCTATTTCAGTCTGCAGGTGACGTCATGACCCGGTTTCTGTTCTGGAGTCATTTCAGGAATCTGAATAAATATGTCTAATAGTTTCCCTTTTTAACAGTCAGAGGACAAAGAAGATCCTGTAGGATGATTTATAGCGGTTGAGGCGTTCAGGGCCTGTTGGATCTATCAGCTCTGCTAGAGGATGAGTCAGTTGATCTGCTAGCTGTTTATCATTTATCCGAATAATAATTCAGATTTGCTTAAACTCGTGTGAAATAAAAATCAGTGGCGGCTGGTGGATTTTTTTGGTAGGACCAACCAACCAGTCATTAAATATTTAACATTTATTCTAACATTTTAACATAATAAAATAATAATAAAGGACATCTCATTCAAACAATTCAGTATATTATTGAATATATATATGTAAATAAAACAATATTCAGAATATTGCAACTATTATAAATATCACAATAAATAAATGTATTAATTAAATATATACACATACATATCTATATATATAGATATAGATATGTATACATACCCATATATATATATATATATATATATATACCCACATAAATAATAAAGCCAAGTTTGAAAAGAGACTTAGTATGTTTTTGTTCCTTCTGTATTCAGTCTTTGTGTTTTTGTACCTCATTTCTTACCTCATGATCTTTTTTAACCTTTAGACTGAAATAAGATGCAGAAATCCAAAAGCCAATACGAGTCCTTCCTCTTCTGGAGGCAGCCAATCCCTTCCCTCGATCTGACGGAGCTGGAGGACTTAGGTTTGAGTGACAGGACACCGGCCAATAGCATCAAAGGAAAGGACAAGTCCTCCTCCCTGAGGACTCAGGATGAGGAGGTGAGGCGACACTCCCACAAGTCAGGGTTTACGCGATTAATGTTTACTTTGTTCTTTAAAATTCTACCTCCTGTCTGTCTGTCTGTCTGTCTGTCTGTCTGTCTGTCTGTCTGTCTGTCTGTCGTCTGTCTGTCTGTCTGTCTGTCTGTCGTCTGTCTGTCTGTCTGTCATTCCTCTCCACAGGGTGAGATGACCGAGTTTTCCTCCTTTAATTATTGGAGAGCTCCGATCGCCGACGTGGACGCTCTGCTGGCCGACCTCAAGCTGCTGCTCTGAAACACAACGCTCATCACCCGACCTCTGACCCCAGACCACCTCCACCCCCACCTGACCTCCGATCACAGATCATCCATTGTCTGACCCCAGATCAGCATCTTTTAGACTGTTTAAGGAAGTCAACGAGATAAGAGCGTGGTTTTCACATTAAAGCCGAGTGCTGCACAGGCTGATCCTGGTTCAGATTAAACTCCCACAGCTTTTTGTCTAAACATTCATTTGAAGAGTCAGCTGACGTGTTAATGACCTGGAATCTGTATCCCATCCCGAGTCCAACTTCATGACAATAATAACTATGGTAATCCTGTCACGAAGGTGATTATTAATAAGAAAATAATCTTTGCTGAAACAAGTCAAACAGAAAAGGAATTAACAATTTAAATATTTGCACAAGGACAGTAGAAACATGTTTCATTAGTTTAGAACAAGTAAACATCTGCACCTTATACTATGATTATTCTTATTCTTACAGATGTTATTCATTAGAACTATGAGCACAATGAAGCTGGACTCACCGCGTGACACAGATCCCAGATCTGTATGAGGATTGTAACTCCTGCTGACGTGGACACTATTGATCTGCTTCTGATTTATTGAACAAATGTTTTTCTGTCATATTTATTCATTTAAGCGCACTGAGACTAAAGTTTTTGTCTTTTTCCATTTGTGCCTTTTTGGGTTCTTTGATCCTGAGCTGCTTTATGAATTTATTTAAGTCACCGTGTGAATTTATTTAAGTCTCTTTATGAATTTATTTAAGTCATTGTATGAATTTATTTAAGTCTCTTTATGAATTTATTTAAGCCTCTTTATGAATTTATTTAAGTCATCGTATGAATTTATTTATGTATTTCTCATGTTGTTTTTCTTAGCGGAACTCAAACTGGATCCAGACGAAGAAAAACTGCAGCGCAATTTGTCAGAATGTAAATCCTGCCAACAATAAAACGTAAAGTCCAAATTCATCCCTGTTATTAATGACATGTTTTACACATTAAACTGTTTATTTCACTTCATAGCATGTTTCCAACAACATTCCGGCCAGATGAAATCCAGCGCTCTGATTGGTTGAGAGTGAGTCACGGTGCATCATTGAGTGATAACCTACAGTTGCTGCTCACATTGACCCGACGGTTCCGTATCACTGCGCACTCAGAGGAGCAGGTTAGATTTTGCACAACCGTTAGTTGACATTTTAGCTTTTAGCTCGGCGGCGATCACTGAAAAAAAACGGAAATCCCACAAACGATCAGTTCGATCGGTTTGGGGCAACGTGAGCTTTCACAACCGAACAATGAAGGTGGACGTCGACAGCAATGTGAGTGAGTGAGATGATGAGAGACCAGATGCTGTTTTCACGTACAGAGACTATTTGTCTCTAGACTACTGAAATGAGACACAACGTTTGGTGGTGAAAGGCAGCTATTTACATACTAATTATAATGCCGCTGGTAACCGGATTATAAAAGGAACAAGGTACTTGAAGCAGTACTTTATCTTCAATAATGTAACTGTTAGAGGTGTTACATTATTGGACGATAAAGTACTGCCTCACCGTATTGCTTGAATAAAACATTTATTTAGGTATAAAGACAACAGATAAAGTGTGTTATCTTATTTGTGTTTTAAAATAAACTTAAAATAACATTCATTAATAAAGAACATCCACCTTGAATGTGAAATTTAAATTGCTTCAAATATTTGTTTGTAGTCGAGTAAATGTTCATTTGGTTGCTCAAAATTACCCAAAAATTCTTCAAATATTAGAGAGAAATTTAATTCCACAAAGGGGTCAAATAAACCTTAACAGTAATAAAAAAATCTAAAAAGGCTCCTTTGTTTTGATGAAGGCTGTTTATTTGGTCAATAAATTACAAATAAGTAGGAATTCAACTTACTTGTCCCCCCCATTAATTCCAAACCAAATATTCTATCTATATATGTGTAATGTAAAACATTCAAAATATTGGGTAGTTCAAAAAAAAAGTAATCAAAAAACGTATTTTAAATATAACAAATTATAATGTGGATGAAAAACAAACGCAAATGTTTTGAAATACCTTAAAATTAAAATATCAGAATCATGTTAAAATCACTTAAAAAGAGCTCAGATCAGCTTGTTGATTTAAATTTTTATCAAAATGCCTGGTACAAACAAACCGCTTCGGTTGAACATCAGGGACGTCCGAGCTCTGCAGGCAGGAACGCGAACCATGTACCGGCTGATCTGAGGTCAGCGTTTGCCTGTGTTTCCGCGCACCGCGCCGTGAGCCTGCCGCTCACACTGACTTGAGGTCTGTTAAAGGGGCAGCGGACACAGAGCCCGCCCACAGGGAGGTTAACCTACTCTGGCTTCCTCCTCCGGTGTCGCAAGGCCGCCATATTTGTACCAGAAATAAAAATACAAAAAGTAACGCTTTTTAAAAATCCGTCGAGGCAGGTAAATTACCGGAGAATCCGATTCACGCCAGGGGACGTAATCTTCCGGGAACCTACGAAAGAACAAGGTATAACGCGTTCAAATTTAACTTGCTAACGGTGTGCCTGCAAAGAGGCTAACGGCTAACAAAGGCTAGCAAGTAAACACCAGCGATAACGAAGACTTCCTGTCAGGACTTTTCAGTATAAACCATGGACTCAAGTGTTGTAGTTAGTTAAATTCTTACTAACGTTACTTTATCCAAATCTTCTGTTTATAGATAAAACAAAAATTGCTGTATTCCATCGTTTAAATCGATTATTTCCAATTAATCTTAATTTGATTGTAAATAAGTTTTCATCCAAGCATGCAGAACCAAGTGCTTCACATTGCAAAATACGATAACGCAGAATTGAAAAAATGGTCCAACACTTAAAATAACAATAAAACTGCTAAATGTTAATAACTAAATAAGTCACTGAAAAATGAAAAACCTTTTACTTGAACTCTTACAGTGGGATGCTCTTATGTTGAAGGCCACATCCATAATATCCTGTAGCCGTTCGCTAACTTTCCGCCGTAAACAAACCCCGAAGGAGCCCGTCGAGCTGCGAAGGCGCCACAATGTCCGTGTTTAGCGTTTTGTGACGGAAGGAGCGCACACCAGCGACCTGTTTGTTCCTACACGCGGGGAATACGAGAACGGAAAAAACGCTTCAGCCGCGCAGGGATTTCTGCCGGTGCTAGCGTGCTAACGTTAGCTTAGCAGAGGCTCTCGCAAACCTACACGCGGTACGTTTCTTTATATTTGGTCTTCACGTGTGAAACGGCCGTAAAAAAGCGTTCGAATGAAGCAGAGCGGCGCGAGGCCGGTCCGCCGTCCGCGCGCGCCCGCAGCTAACCGGATGTGGAAGTGGTTTCTTCTCCCGAATGTAAAAGAGGAGATTTCTGTGTGACTTCCCCCGGAAAACCAACACCTTAATATCATACGGTTTCCTGTCCGTTGTCTCCGTTATCGCGTGCGTGCGGCGGGGGCCGGTTTTGAACGGCGGTGCCGGTGGATTGGGGCCCGGGCAGCGGGGAGAAGCGGTACGTGGCACATGGCGGACTCTGTTCTGCCCGTGGAGGCGCGTAAAATGGCCCCTCGTCCCGCTCCGTTCAGTCTCAATGAGGAACGCTGTGTAAAGCCGCGGAGCCCATTGTCGGACACCGCCTGTCCGACGAACTTCGCTAGCTTTGCCCCTTTTCCCAGTAAAGAGAACCACAGTTACCAGTCAAACCACAGCAGCCATCCCATGGAGGACGTAATCTCAAAGACAACTTCAGTCCCAAACTGTGAAAATACTGACTGATATCATACTGTAAATGTACACGGGTAACTGTTGTAATACCACACTGAAATTACTTTGGTAAAAATAATATTAGCACAACGTGAAAATACTCTTTTGCAACTAAAAGTACTAATTAAATACTGGAAAAATATGCTTGCAAAATGTAAAAACCCCAAGACCACACTGAAAGTACTGTGTTCAAATATTACAAGTAAAAGTACTTCATACGTTGTACAACCTGGGGAAGTTGTTCAAAGTATAAAATAAGTATCAGAAAAGTGAAATTACTATTCCAGACTCCGTGGAGTGAGTAAATCTACTTTAACAGTATGAATGGGATTCCTGCTGTTAGCGTTTAGCGACTCATCGCTCGCCGTGTTGTGTCCAGATGTCGCTGGTGGACCTCGGGAAGCGTCTGCTGGAGGCGGCTCGCAAAGGTCAAGACGATGAGGTCAGGAACCTGATGGCCAACGGAGCGCCGTTCACCACCGACTGGGTGAGACCCCGACGCCGTCTCTGTGACCACGGTCTGGTGAGAATCAGCCGGGTCGCGTGTCTCCTTTATTGTTACCATGAGACTGTAAACTAAGTGTTTTTCCGTCACAGGGTCCAGGACAGATGGTTAGGAGAGTTCATGAGGAGTTAGGAAAGGACTAGGCGGTGTTTAGTGAATCAACTCACTGAGCTGCGTAGTTGATGGACGGAGACGCATGTTGGTGACGTCAGTGTGCAGCGGCTACAAAGAAGCTTTAGATGCCTTCATGTAAAACTTCATTAACATGGCTGCAACTTGTGTTACTCGCATGATTCTACGTCATCATCGTTAGTTAACCTGAACGGACCAATGAAACGTCACTATTTAAACATGGAATTGTGGGACAGAATTTCCTCCTTTCCTTTCGTAAAGGATGGTGCAGTGTTTCCTGTGCTGAAGGAGCTAAATGAGGAAGCATTGAAGCTCCTTTCTTTAGCGTTAGAGAATAGAAGAGGTCGTATCATGGCGCCATGGAACATTGTGAACAATCAATCAGTGTTTAGATCATAAGGAGGAGAGGCTAGCGTCAGCGCTAACCGCCAACCAATGGAATCAATATACTGTTACTGAATGTAGCCTCTGGACGTTAGCCGTTAGCTTCAGGTGGTCTGTAATGTGATATTAAGTCAGTAGTTCCAGGTGTTACTATGCCTTTGGTGTAATACATAATCATATATCTATCTATCTATATACATAACCATATGTCTATATATATATATGTGTGTGTATATATCGGGCTGTCACAATATCACATTTTTGTTGTGCGATTATTGCACCAACATTTATTGCGATATGCGATATTATTGCAATTTTCAGACCATTTTATGCCACTGATGACATCATGACAATATAATAGCATAGTAATAAAACGGTTTATTTGTCAGAATAGTTAGACATTAGAATGTGAAAAATATATCCTAATATAAATAAAACCAAAAAAAGAATAAGGGGGGCGGAGACACGGAGCAGGCGAAGCATCGGACTCAGTCGGGTTCAAGAAAATGTGTCCAGCAGAAAGGCGGCAGGGCGTCGCCCTGTGTCTGTGCGCGCTGCCTAAGCCCCGCCCCCCTTTGCACAAGGAAAATCAACTTATTTTTACATTTATATGTAACATTAATAGCGCAGCACCAATAATGATTGCATGCGATTCCAGAGAGTGTGCGATGTGTCGTAGGCCCTAATGTGTGTGTATAAATGTTCAGTCTCTACATCCTGTTTGTTCCGTCTTATCACTGCGTGTTTTAACATTACCGATTACTACAGCTGGGGACGTCTCCGCTCCACCTGGCTGCGCAGCACGGCCATTACTCCACCGCCGACGTCCTGCTGAGGGCCGGTGTCAGCAGGGACGCCCGCACCAAGGTGGACCGCACGCCGCTGCACATGGCGGCCGCCGAGGGCCACACGGTCATCGTGGAGCTGCTGGTCCGGGTGAGGACACTGTAGAGACTTATTTCTTTGGACGGTTCCTCACTGAAGTATCGAAGTGTCCCACATGAGTCCTCTAGGTCAGTAGTTCTCAGCTGGTCGGGCTGCTGAGCCGCCATCACAGCTCACTGAAGACCCAAATCCACGACGCTCTTCAACTGATGCTGCAGTTTGAACCTGAGACGATGCATAAGAATATATGTAATAATCAGTATGTTCTAAAGCTAAATTAACGTTGATACTAGAGGCAAATATTCTCCTTTAAATTCAATCTGCTGCGTTTGAATTCAAACCAACAATAAGGTCCGAGGACTCAGTAACTCACACAAATAACCAGTATGGGGAAAGTTTTATTATGAGGTGTAAAGTACATAAAGTGACTTAAGACGATGAAAGTGTCACCTGGTCAAAGTTCGGTCTGTGACCTTCCAGAGCGGCGCTGACATCAACGCCAAAGACATGCTGAAGATGACGGCGCTGCACTGGGCGGCGCAGCACGCTCACCACGGCGTCGCCGAGACGCTCATCAAGCACGGCGCCGACGTGCACGCGCTCAGCAAGTTCGACAAGACGCCCTTCGACATCGCCGTGGACGTCCAGAACACCGAGCTGATGCTGCTGCTGCAGGTGACACCGACCTTTGACCTCAGGGCCGGCTGGTCGTTTGCACGTTTCTGTGTGCAAACAGACTTAAAACACTGAATCGATGTCGTTGGTTGGTTTCTGATGTCATGGAGTAAAGAGCATTTGAACCAGCTAGTTGGAACCTAAACGAGCATCTAGACGTGTCAGAAGACCACCGTAAAGAGAGACACTGGCTGCTAGAGAACACTGCTGACCTTTGACCTCTGGCCCTCAGGAGGGAATGCAGAACCAGGTGAACATGAACCAGGTGAGCATGAACGTGGAGACCAGCAGCACCAACCAGCCGCAGTTCATCATCCAGGGCATCCCGGGCATCCAGGGGGGGGTGGTGAACCTGGCCGAGCTGCTCAACAAAGCCAACGCAGGTTCGATCCGCCCGAGACGCAGACGCCACCTTCGTCCTCCTTTTCTCCTGAAGCGCTGACGTTTGTGCGTTTCCCTCCAGGCGACTCGGAGGAAGCGATGGCCGCCAACGCCCTGGACTCCAACATCCAGCACGCCACCGTGGTCAACGAGGGGGGTCAGAGGGTCATCACCATAGTGACGGACCAGCACGGCAACTTGCAGACCACGGGAGGGATGGCTCCGCCCTTCTTCGTCACCATGCAGCACGGACAGCAGAGTACGGCCCCGCCTCCCGTGTGTGTGTGTGCGTGTGTGTGTGTGCGTGTGTGTTGATGCATGCTGTGTCTTCACAGTGCTGGCGGTGCCGGCCAACGCAGTGACGGAGGAGGTGGTGACGGAGGAGCCTCAGGCTGCGCCCTCCAGGAAGAGGAAGCTGGAGGTGACCAACAACCACGACTCTGGAGAAACGGTGAGCGTGAAGGTTCCAACTTATCAATATATTTTCCTGATAAATGTATATTGATCATTTATATTTCAGTTGTATATTATTTAAGTCAAAAGCTAAATGATGGTGCTCTCAACTAAAGAGAGAAATAAACTAAATGTGAAACTGTTTGATCAGTGAGTTTGATCTGTGACTCTTCCTCCTCCTCCTCCTCCTCCTCCTGCAGGAGCTGCTGCAGAGGCAGCTGCAGGAGGCCAACAGGAAGGCCCAGGAGTACCGGCAGCAGCTGATGCGTAAGGAGCAGGAGGCCGAGGAGTACCGGGTCAAGCTGGAGGCCATGTCTCAAACTCAGGCCAACAACGCGGCCGTTGCCGCTGCCAACGCGGCCAGCCCCGAGGAGGTGGTGGGGGGGGAGGAGGACGAAGAGGAGCCAGCCGGCATGGTGGAGGAGGAGGGGGAGATGGTGGTGCTGCAGGAGGGAGGCATCATCATGGAGGGGGAGGAGGGGCAGGTAACGCTGGTGGAGACGGGCGGAGACACGACGGAGGTCAGCTCTTAACAGGGAGGTGGGGGAGCGGGGGGGTGCACCATAAAGACTCTCCAACAAAAAGACAGCGTGGAGGACGAGGAACAAAATGGCCATAAAAAACAAAGAAGACGAATGAGCAGACGTCTTCAGCAGGAGGAGACGGAGCTGGTGCCAAATGGACGGAGGAGACGGAGGCCAAAGGCTCATTGATCTTCTGTTTTAGACTAAATCACAGCATGGGGGGGTTGACGGCCATGTTTGTTCCTCGGTTGCGCTTCGACGCACCATTTTGCTTCCCCGGAGAATCGAAGGACTCACAGAGCAGGAAGTCCGACAGTTTTCACCTGTTTGTGTTGTTTGATTTATGGAACTTGGACGGTTGGTCTCCTTTAAATCCCTTTATTCCCTGATGTTCCTCTGATGCCGTCTTTTAAACCTCGCTGCATCCCAAACAAACCTGCTGGACTCTTTGGACACTAAAACAACTCCTAATAATTACTAACATTTAGTGTTTTGGATCTGATGTCATCATGTTTAACGGAGGGGAAGTGATTCCAAACGGAGCGACTGAACCAGATCCATCATGAAAACCTTTATTCACAAATTATTATTTTAGCAAAATCCACCTTCAGCTCGTAATTGTTTATTATATATTCATATTTTGAAGATTATTACTTAGTTTGAAAGATTCCCACAAAATGGATGTTGCCGAAGAGCAAAACTGTTCCCATTGAGCAGCGTTTGGAAGAGAATTCCCGGCTGTGGTTCTGTTAATAAGCATCTTTTAAAGGGGCACCGACCGGCGTTTCAGTTGAGTACGATAGTTATTTTTATAAGCTCAGCAAAACGCAAACCTTTTTCTATGTACATATAAAGTCGTATTTTTGTAACTGTACCTGAACGCTTCACCGTGACTACGACAGCGATGACGATGCCTCTGCTGGTAACCTGGAATATAAACACTTTTTTGAACTTTGTTGTGTTTTCAATGCGTTGCACCGGGTCTCTGTTCCTCGTATCAAACGCCCCGTTAGCCAGATGACGTTAACCAGATGATTAACTCTCGTCTCGGTTCCTCAGAGGCTGATCTGCTCAAACCGTCTCCATAGTTTGGACCAGATGTCATCATGATAATCGCCAGAAGTCGATCACCGACGATCAACCAGGCAAATAAACTTAAACTTAAATATGAGGAGATAACGTGTGTGTTTGAATCCTTTCTGTCCGATGAATTGACCGTATTGTGCGTCTTTTACGTTGTTCATTCTGTCCGTCCATCAGTCGGGGCGGATCGTCCTCTGTCTCACTGAAGGTGTCTTCCCTTTTTTCCCCATGGAAGCGTTTTCATTGTGTGGGGAGTTTTTCCTGTGATGATGTGATGGTTTGTGGACAGAGGACGTCACGTGTCTTCACGCTGTAGAGACACATGAGGCAGATTTGCGATACAAAATGAAATGACACACACAAACAATATTTTCTATATTAAGCTGTTGCTCGATCTCAGCGCATCGTCTTCTTCAATACTCATCATGATTGACAAATATGCTTTGATTAATTGTTTTTATTACAATGTAAAAATCAATCATGATCTGAGTGAAGTAAAAATAGTAATATAGAACCTTATTCATAAAATTGACTGGTTATATGTTTAATTATTTGTCAAATAAAATAAATAATTTCTGTTTACCACGGGGAATAAATAAATGGAATAAAAGTGTCAGGAAATAGAAGTAATCAAGTGAAGTACATCCGATTGAATTTGAGTAAATGTACTCAATCACCTTCCACTGTTTTATATTCTCGGTTTAGTTGTTTTTCTACATCTATTCCTACATGATAGTTTTGTGCTGTTGTTAGGGACAATCAAGTGATTTGATGTGGTCATTTTAACGGATAAACACCGATTTATTCCGTGATATGTAAAGCCGCCATAAAGCGGGGATATTCCGGCTGGCGGATTATGGCCGATCTTTCCTGACCGACGGGCCCGCCGACCAATGAGAGCGGCGCAGAGGCGCGATGGGGGCGGGACCGCGCGCGGGGTATCATGGAGGATCAGTGGGCGAACTGTGGCCATCAGAGGAGAGCAGACCGCTCTGATCCCGGAGCTGCTGTGGCCGCCATGGACATGAAGAAGAGGATCACCCTGGAGCTGAGGAACCGCAGCCCGGCGGAGGTGAGCGCCATCTTTGTTCGAATAACAGTTCTATAGTTGGCAGGAAGCCCGGGAGGACGCCCCCCCCCCCGGCCCCCGTCACATGGGGTCCGCTCACCGAGCTACACCGCCCGCCTGTCCCGATCGATCAGTTTGATCGGCTACCGGCTGGACGCGCGGATGGATGTCGAAGCATCCCCCGCCTCTCACGTTGAACCGTTACAACTAACGGTTAATGGCTCAAGTCCCACCGCGTCCCGCCGGTTACCGTTAAAAAGTCCCAAAGCCCCCCGGCGGCAACTTGTAACCGGCAGCGCCACGTCCGGGTCTCAGGGGAGTCCGAGCGGGACTTACCGCCGCCTCGCGCCCGACTAGCGGACATTTTAAGCACCGACGGTTTAAAGGCGGGAACGCGCCGTCCGTCTCCGCGGGAACCGAACGCGCGGTTGTTCGCCGGGCTTCGTGTTCCTTTGCGTGATGACGTTTGCGGGCCGGCTCGGTGGCGCACGCGGGGTGATCCGCAGACTACTCAGGTGACCCCTAAAAGGTACAGAGGTCAACAGGATTAACGGCGTTTCTCCGGTTAAACCTCGACGCCTCCCGAGCCGCGCGCGTCGTCACGAACCAAAATGGCGTTAGTCGACTGGGATTTAACCTCCACCGGATTTCCGTCTTCATCGGCCGTTCGTCAACAACATACGGGTTCATACGCGTTATGACGTCGTGATTAAGTTATTGAACCGGACCGGTTCAAACTGAGAGCCTCCTGTTGTCATGTCGACGGGGGGCGACAGATGGCGCGTGCGCAAGGACGCTTAGCACACGCGCACTCAACGTGCACGTAAGATTATAGAAGGTTAAACCACGCGCACGCAAACCCACCGGCCTGCAGGCCGGAACGTTGAGGGTGGTTACATAAGAAGAACCGGAGGGAACTCTGGGTAATAAAAGGGGGGAGATCTATAATTACAGGCTGAAACCATAACGAAGCACTGCTGCCGGTTGTCGATGACGTCACGAGGCGCGCGACATCGCAGCCGTACATCAGGAAGTAACATGTTTCTTCCGAATTTAGAGAGGCCGTCATAGTTATTAATGGACTTAATATTATACTTTTATTTCCAGACATAATTATAATGTGTAACAACAACTCTTCTTTGGTCTCTGGAGACCAGACGGCTGTCAATCACGACCAAAAGGTCGCTTTAATAACTGATTCGTGACGTGGGGCTGAGAAGTAATCAACCAGACATTAAATAACCGTGTCTCCAGATAGCGGAGCTGGTGGTGGACAACAGCCGCTGTGCGGACGGAGAGGTGGACGGTCTGACGGAGGCCTTCACGGGGCTGGAGTTCCTCAGCATGGTCAACGTGGGCCTGAGCTCGCTGGCCAAGCTGCCCTCTCTGCCCAAACTGCACAAGGTAACGTAACTAGCATGTTAGCAGCTATCGGATCGACAAAGATGTTTTATTGTACATTGTGGTGTGTACATGTGTTCACACGCTGTGTGTGTCTCTGGTTGTGTAGCTGGAGCTCAGTGACAACAACCTGTGCGGCTCTCTGGGAACTTTGTCGGAGAAATGTCCGAACCTGACGTACCTGAACCTCAGCGGGAACAAGATCAAGGAGCTGAGCAACGTGGAGGCGCTGGTCAGAGCGCACACACACACACACACACACACACACACATCTTTGTTACTAGACGCACACGCACACATAGAGACACACAGTCATATTTCTTTGCACTAAAGGTTGAAACGGGTTTGAAAACATTTGATTTGAATGAAATGTTGAAATAAGACCCTCTGAGATGTTCTTCACTACTGCAGCAAAACCTGAAGAGCCTCCAGAGTCTGGACCTCTTCAACTGTGACATCACGTCCCTGGAGGACTACAGGGACAGCGTGTTCGAGCTGCTGCCTCAGGTCACCTACCTGGACGGCTTCGACCAGGAGGACAACGAGGCGCCCGACAGCGAGGCCGACGACGAAGGTCAGTGCCCCCCCTCCCGCCCCCCAAACCACAGCCGGCGCTGGTCCACCGCCTGAACCCGCTCTCTTTTACAGAGGAGGACGGGGCAGCGCCCGCCGGAGACTATGACGAGGACGAAGACGAGGACGGCTCAGAGGGGGGGGGTGCGGGGCCGAACCGGGCCGATCAGGTGGGTGATGCACAAGGCTGCCGGGCCCATAAGAACCAAAACATGTGCCGAAAGGAGACGACCTCGTCCTCTTGAGTGTGACGATGATGATGAAGAGCACAGTGTTTTACATTAGGTTTATTTTTAATAGTTTTCACTTTTGTATTAATAACTGAAGTTCTCCCTAAATTGAATAATACCACGGCTCTATAATTCTGTTACGACAGAACTGACTGGTCACATGACTTGAAGGTCACATGACTCGATGATCCCGATGAATAGATTTAAAGTCAATCAGAAACGAGCTGCCTGTTTTATTTTGAAAGTATCTTCTGTATTCTTCCCCTTAGGACGACGACGACGATGAAGAGGAGTTTGCGGAGGAGGAGGAAGGTGAGTGAAGCGTGGGCCTGCTGATCTGATTGGTCGGACCCTCCCCCCCCTCCCTCCCCTGATTGTCTCTCTCTCTCCCCGCGTGTCCAGAGGAGCAGCCCGGCGTTCAGAGAGAGAAGAGGAAGAGAGACGTGGACGACGAAGGCGAGGATGACGGGGACGAAGACGACTAGCTCGTCCTAAGCCGTCTACTTGTCCCGTCTCATTGGTACTCCAGATGGACAGCCAGGCCGCGTGTCCTCCGCTAGTCTCCTTCCGTCAGTCTTTCTTTTTAGATAATATATAAGATGTTATCAGAACTTCAAGAGTCCACATGTGTCCCTTTTAAGACCTGGTCCTGGATTGGTCCGTCCCCCGACCCACTTCCTGACGTCTTGCTGCAGCGGATCCACCAGCCCAAAATCTAGACTGAAAAATGTCCCGCCTGTCAACTGAGATGTTTCAGAATAGACATGGAGACTACAAAATGATGTCACTTCCTGTCTGCTCTCCAACATCAGCTGGAGTCCGACCACGAGACAGACAGTAAAGCCCTCTACCAACAGGGCCAATCTGGACCAGAACATGAGCGGGCTGGTTTGCTCCGGTCCAGCAGTCTCGTAGTCCCTCAAACCATCACAGTGACGAGAACATCTGTCCATCTTCAGGAGCTTCCCGCTGCACGCCGGACTGATACCAGTCCGATCCCCAAGGGCTTCTCCCACAGTCCTATCTGACTCCGGACCTTATCAGGGACGTTTCCCGGACCTCTGTCCCCGTAGTCTGCTGTCCCCGCGTGTGTTTGATTTGTTCTAGGGGTTCTCCAGGGGAATAGAGTTCAGATGTCTTTGTTTGTTTTGGTTTGTTGACTTTGTCCCTGTAGTGTCCTGGAAACCAAACGTTGCCGCCCTCCGTTCCTGTGAAATACGAGCCCCCCGAAGGCCTCGCGTGAGCCCCCCGAAGGCCCCGCGTGAGCCCCCCGAAGGCCCCGCGTGAGCCCCCCGAAGGCCCCGCGTGAGCCCCCCGAAGGCCCCGCGTGAGCCCCCCGAAGGCCCCGCGTGAGCCCCCCGAAGGCCTCGCGTGAGCCCCCCGAAGGCCTCGCGTGAGCCCCCCGAAGGCCCCGCGTGAGCCCCCCCGAAGGCCTCGCGTGAGCCCCCCGAAGGCCCCGCGTGAGCCCCCCGAAGGCCCCGCGTGAGCCTGGTAATGATTGGTAATCGATTGGTAGCGTATTGCTGTGTCAGGTAAATGAAATGTAAACCATGACTCAGCGCTTTTCCTGGAGACTGAGACTTGCTGCAGCTTTTCTAGTGGTGTCGTACGGTATCGAACCCTCAGTTATGAATAATGATCAGTGTAATCATCTGATGGATCATTGATCCACAGTCTCAGGTTCTTTTGTCCCGAAGAAACAGAACTTTGTCTTTTAACTAAACTGCTGTAAACTTTTAAATTCTCTCCTTTCAAGCTCTTCAACACCGACGAGCGTTTTTTTAGACGGTCGCCACTGAAGGTTGCGGTACAGCTGTAATACTCCTACACACGGTCAGGGTGTATTTGTACTCTTATACACGGTCAGCGTGTATTTGTACTCTTATACACGGTCAGCGTGTATTTGTACTCCTACACACAGTCAGTGTGTATTTGTACTCCTACTCAACGTGTATTTGTACTCCTACACAACGTCAACGTGTATTTGTACTCCTACAGACGGTCAGTGTGTATTTGTACTCCTACACACGGTCAGCGTGTATTTGTACTCCTACACACGGTCAGCGTGTATTTGTACACATGTGTGACGCATAAGGAATCTCATTCAACATAATGCTGTCAGTCAACCAATCAGAGCACTTGGGGGCGGGCTTGGTTATGTGAGCTTAGTGTTTGATTGATAGGTTGTTCTTTCGGGCACCTACCATGGTTTTCAGTGTGAAAGGTCAAAGGTCTCATCAGTTTAAACCGGTTTCTAAGACGATATTGTAAATAGACTTTCAGCTTAGTTTCAAGTTTGTTTTTATTTTGTAATGAATTTAAATCATTTTACAGATGTTTGTTTTTTGGATTCAGGTAATAGTTTGACCTCGTCTTTGACCTCTTGACGCGGCCCGCTCCTCTGCCAGCGAGGGGGGGGGTTACTGTGGTTGACCTTTTGTGTGCTGTAACTAAAACATGGGGGTTTGAATTTTTTTTTAAATGTATAAAAGGACCAAAATGTTTACTTGAATTCGTCCAGTGAAGTTTGTGTTGGAGGAAGGGGCGGGGCTCTGGGGGGCGGGGTTATAAGCTGTGAGGAAAGAAGCAGGACCCCAAACTCCGCCTCCTCCACGGTTACAAGTCCCAGGTGAGTCCGTCTGAGTTTGATGAAATCCAATGTCTACTTATGAATTCTATTCAACCCAGAGAAATATTTACTGGTGAATGAGGTTAAAATACAATGATAATGCGTAGTAAAATGTTATTTCAGAAAATAAAACACATTGAAAAAAAAACAACTAAAGTAGAAGCAAAATATTAATGAATACATAAACCAAAGGTTTGATATTTTTAGGTTTGACATTTTTACAAATCTTAGAAATAAAATATATGAAAATCGCTAATTATAATATGTAACATCTATTGGGGAAATAATTCAATTCAGTTGATCATCAATTGAGTTTTAATGATTCAAGTGTCCTGTGTGTCTGTGTGTCCTCTAGATGGCGCTGTAGTCTTTCGCTTCACTGAATCGAACTTTTCAATACGTCCTCTGATTGGCTGCTGCACAGAAGCGATTGAGATGTGCACACTGCTCTGATTGATCCATAACTGCAGTAAAGTAACTAATACACAGAGTAAACGCAGAGCTTTGAAAATGTGTGTTTTATTTTGTTAAACCCCAAATTGCAAATTACAAAACTTACTAAATTAGCCTCCGAGGGCTTCAGTCTGTACACACACTGACCCGAAGCCCTGCGCGCGTCTGTGTGCGCGCGTCTGTGTGTGCGCGCGTGTGCGTGCGTCTGTGTGTGTGTGTGTGGGCGCGTGCGTCTGTTTGTGTGTGTGTGTGTGTGTGCGCGCGCGTCTGTGTGTGCGTGCGTCTGTGTGTGCGTCTATGTGTGTGCGCGCGTGTGCGTGCGTCTGTGTGTGTGTGCGTGCGTCTATGTGTGTGTGCGTGCGTGCGTGCGCGCTCTTCTGAAATATTTACTTTCTGACTTGAAAGCTTTTGCTCGTCATGTTATTTTTGTACAACAGCTGGGCTGTCATTGGACAGTTCATGATGACGTCACTCTGACCAGGGGTCCGTTTCAAGATGCGGGTTTAGTGTAAACTCAGAGTTAGTTAAGCCTGAGATGAGGGAAACTCTGGCTTGTTTCACAAAGGGAGGTAACTAAAGCTCAGGCTCAGTCTCCATGGTAACTGAAGCTCAGGCTCAGTCTCCATGATAACTGAAGCTCAGGCTCAGTCTCCATGGTAACTAAAGCTCAGGCTCAGTCTCCATGGTAACTAAAGCTCAGGCTCAGTCTCCATGGTAACTAAAGCTCAGGCTCAGTCTCCATGGTAACTAAAGCTCAGGCTCAGTCACACATATGAACAAAATAAGATGTTACGTTAAAGACTGAAGTGTTTTCTGGAACACGTCACGTCCTTTTCTGGACGATCCTGTTGGTGAAGAAGCGCTTTTACTTCGTTAAACACGTTAAGAGAGAATATTGAGGCCCGATTAGATATATTCTCATTTCCAGATGACTACTTGTTTGAACACTATCGTTTTTCTGCGGACCCCTTGTTGAAGACCTCTGGTATGAGGAATTGTAATTTATTTTAGGACTCCCCAATTGATGAATCACTGCCTTCAGTAAATGAATCTGACTATGTGAAGAAGTCTTTTTCACAGCATCAATGTGCCAGGTCAATTGACCACTGTCACAAAATGTCCAAATATCACTATACTGGCAAGTAACAAAGTGGTGTGATGCTACACCCAATAAGTAATGTAGAGTCCGTCCTCAGCACCAGGATGGAACCTGGAAACAGCCTAAAGCCTTGTGCGGTATCATTCACCTATTATTCACCTGTCTCCCTCTTTAAATACACTCATGTGTATTTAAAGAGTCTGACCGAACCCAGCGGACTGACTCCTGCCCCCCAACCAGTGTCAATAACTCAATAAGTCAGAAATACTCTATAGAAGAATCGAGAATAACAATAATAGAGGAAGAGAAAAGATGGGGGAGATGTTGTGAGGATTAAACGAGGTCGAGTTTGAACACAAGCTGCAGGGCTGTGAGTCACAATGAGCGCACACACTCACAGACACACACACACACTCACAGACACACACAGCCCCCAACACACACACACACACACACATCCCCCAACACACACACACACACACACACACACACATCCCCCAACACACACACACACACACAGCCCCCAACACACACACACACACACATCCCCCAACACACACACACACACACACACACACACACACACACACACACACACATCCCCCAACAAACTGACACACACACACTCCAGAATTGGTGTAAATAATTTATGGGACTCCGTTGAACACGAATGGGAGGTTTGGTCTCAGTAAATAAGGGTTAACACGTGTGTGTGAGGAATCTTAAATATGACTGAAAATATTCCAGATTTAAGCTACTGGTCAAACATGTTGACACTATTAGCATGCTAGCATACTCTTTGTGCTAAGCTAAGCTAACCGTCGTTCATGGAAGACAAAGGAGGATTCATAAATAATCAGTGGGTGACACAAAAAGACAGCAGGTTAGTCATGAAGAAATGCTCATACACACACACACACACACACACACACACACACACACACACACACACACACCCAGGTCAGTGAGCTGTAATGCCGAGCAGATGTAGGGCAGCACAAACGTTATCGCTCCATTACACAACTCCACCTCGACAACACACACACACACACACACAGACTGTGTGTGTGTCCTAAATGATGAGGCTCTCTCTGGGCTGTCGGCCAATTGCGTAGCTGGATCTCTGGATCATGTGACGAGAAGCAGAACATGTCATGTCTGCATTTATGTCCAATTATAGATTTTAAAAATTTGAATCGATGTCACATTTTAAGAAATTAAAGCTAAATTCAAACATTTATTAACAGCATCAAATGGACGTTAAAGGCATTCCAGTAAATAAAAGGAAAGCTGTGCAATATTGGAGAGTTAAAGAAAGAACAGAGCAGCTGATCTCTGAAACCAACTCAAGCACTGAGCAGGGATCGAACCCGCAACCTCAGACTCATCCAGGGGCACACGGGGATGGAACCCGCAACCTCAGACTCATCCAGGGGCACAGGGGGATGGAACCCGTGACCTCAGACTCATCCAGGGGCACAGGGGGATGGAACCCGTGACCTCAGACTCATCCAGGGGCACACGGGGATCGAACCCGTGACCTCAGACTCATCCAGGGGCACACGGGGATCGAACCCGTGACCTCAGACTCATCCCGAGAAGAGAACGGGCGCAGGAACGAGCGTCGCTCTGTAGAACCTTCAGAATGATCTGATCCGCTGGCAGCTTTGTTCATCTCATTTTATTCTGCATGTGAAAACTAAGACTAAGACGGAAAAAAAAATGTTTTTACCCACAATGCATTGCCGTATACAGTAATACCGTAAGATGATTTAAAAACATCAATGTACAAATCTTGAGTATAATAATCTAAGCAAAGAGAAAAAATGACGTAACATTTAAAATAACTTGTTTCCATTTTTTTGAAAAGTTGTAAATGTGTTGAAACTTTCAAATAAATCAACCTAAATACATTTGTTCAACAATTTTGATTACAACATTACTTACAGAACAATGAAACTTCATGAAGAATCTGCTCACAGTGTCGAGTTCTTCTGCAGAACATCACAGAATGTGAATATTTCAGCTCAGAAAAGTGACTTTTAAAGAGAAAAGCTCAGCTCATATTCCCTCAGCCCTTCATGTCCTCCATATTCCAAAAAAGTGCATGTTTTAATATAGAAAAAGACATATTTTTGTGCAGCAACAATCACTTCTAATCGTTCAAAATATCAACTATTTCAATGAAATATTTCCTTAAACCTGAACATTTTTATTAGTTATCCATGAATTATAAAGTGAAAGTGTTGTTTGATAAGAAATGTTTATCGAACACACGTTGTGTGGCTAGATCAATACATCTTACAGATATTGAATATATATATTAGTAGGTGCATATGTCGTCTGATGACAAGTGTTCTTGTTAAAGCTTTTTACTCTTAAGATCTCGGCTGCAATTCTTCCAAAAGCAGCCGAAGGTGTCTGTTTGTCTCCTTGTTGAATAAGTATATATATACACATATATCTTTGAATATATATGTATATATACATGCACATTGCAGGATGTGTGACATCAATTTTAATCTAACTTTATCCTCATTCTCTTAAAACTATCGGAAGCTATAGCCGACTATCAGCTGGGATTACAATACTAATAATAATAAGCAGAAGAAGAAGAATGAGTCTTCCCTATCGAATGTTGTCTTATCTTTTGGGGAGCTTTCCTGTGCCGATGTGAGGGTCAAAGGTCAGAGGATGTCGCATGTGTACAGACTGTAAAGCCCTGAGGCAAATTTGTAGTTTGTAATAGATACTGAATCTCTTTATATCTTAAATATGTGGTTCTGTCCTGATCCAGTTCTAGATCCTCACCATTAAGCAACATTATTATTGCATTCATAGGTAAACAATGTATATTTGAGTTCTCTTTCAGCCCATCAGGGAGAGTGAGGGAAGACATATTCTTTTGTCTCTTATTGACAGATTATTGCTTTTTCTCTTCTCCTGGTGTAGAAAATCAATATTAAACTCCCTGATTCTCCTCCAAACGTCTGAAATCTGAGTCATTACAGATCCAGACGGATGTGAAACAACTAAATCCGATTCATAAAACAGAATATACATTAGCAAATAGATCAGGAAATAGACCTTTCAATTGTTCAAAATCATCTGCTGGTAGGAGAAGATGTGCTCGTCAGTGCCTTCGTGTTTTTGTCTTATTAAAAAAGTTCCCTTTTGTACAAATGTTGACATCTTTGATTGAGAAAAAGTGTCTCTTTAAAAAGACAATTTTTTTTTTATATCTTCCAAAAATATGTCACGGGGGTCTCTGAACTCCACGGAGCGGCTTAAAGAAAAGAAGAAGAAACGTGCACCACAGGTAGATAAATGAAGGGCACCAGGAGACTGTGTGGAATAATCGGGTGCGTCGCTCGCCGGGAGGGTCGAAGTCATCCGACGTCCCGGGAAGACCACGGCGTCCACGCCAGGCCAGAAGATCAAAAATATTTGAGGATCGTTCTCTTATTTCCGTTGAGACATCCTGGTCACGGCGTCTCCGACTCGTCCTCCTCTTCGGGGGAGTTGGGTGAGGGGGGTGTGTCCTCCTCCTCGCCCGCCGTGGTCGCCCGGGGCAATCCGGCCTCCGCTGACGTCAGCGACATCTTCTCGTAGGTCCTCCGGCGCTGCCGCCGCAGTGTCTGGCTCTGCAACTCCTTCACCTCCTGCAGAACCTCCTGCGCCTCCTTCCACGACGACACAGCCTCCTCCAGGAGACGGCCGGCCTCCTCGCGCCTCCGCTCCACCTCCGGGTCTCCCTCCGTTTTGGGGGGCAGTGACTTGAAGGACCCTGAGAAGCTTGGTGAGTTCTTCTCACTGGAACATGGTGACTCCTTGCTGCTCCCGGGGTGAGGAGAGTGGGGTTCACCCCCCCGCGGGGAGTCAAGGCACTTGGCTGCAGGAGAGTCGCCCTCCTTGCCGAGGCCCGAGGAGCCTGAGGGACCCCTGAGCTTGGGGGAGCGGACGGTGTCGCAGCTTTTCGTCCGAGGAGAATCGGTGGCTTTGGTGGCAGGCGAGTGGGATCCTCTGGAGCGATTCTTCTTGGCTTTGGACCGAGGAGACTCTCTCCCTCTCAGACGGGGAGAGTCTTTAACCCTGAGGCGAGGAGAGTCGCTGCTCCGGCTCCTCGGAGATCCAGACGACCTGCTGAAGACATTAATCCCACCAAGAGGATCACAGTGATTACTTTGGCCGGGAACAGGACAGACCGACCTCCAGAGGTCAAGGTCAAGTTATTAGTAAAAATAAAAAATAATAAAAACCTGGAGTGAGGAGAGTCGGAGCCCCTCAGGTGGTGGAGGCAGGGGGAGTCGATACCCTTCAGGTAAGGTGAGCTGCCTCCGCGTTCCCGCTCTGCTTTGGCCTTCTGCAGCTCCTGTACATCACATCAACACATTTCAGCAGGACTTGCTTCTGGAGACCGAACCGTCTCAGCGCACAGGTGGACCAATGAAAACAGAGCGAGGTGTCCTACCTGCAACCTCATTTCCTCCAGCAGCTCCTGAGCTCTCTGCATCCTCTGAGCGATGAGGCTCTGCAGCTGACCGACCGGCTGAACCACCGAGACTCCGCCCCCCGCCTCCTCCTCCTCAGTCGGACAGCGCCGAAGGGCCGAGCGCAACTCGGAGCGAATCATCGCCGGCCTGAGTAGTGGAAAGAAGAAAGGATTGTGAGGAAGGAAGATTCACTGCAATTTTGTCATGTGAATATATTTTTTTATGTTCACCTGGAGGAGAGCACTTCGTCCATGGACGCACAGCGGCTTCGGCCCTGCATGCTGAACCTCTTCCCCGGCTGGGGCGTCTGAGACTGAGCCTTAAGGACCTGAAAGGTGACACAAGTTTGCTTTTTGTACTCTGTGGTTCAGGGATATAAGCCGGGGAGGGAGGGAGGGGGGGGGGTCTTGCATCAAGCACGCTATTGAAAAATGACTCACGGTCTACAAGAATCAAGAGTTTCCCAACCTGCACCTGCTGGGTTTTGAGGACCTTGGAGGCCTCCGGGTGGGACTGCTTGCCCCAGGAGAGCTCGCTCCCCCTGGGCAGACTGCTGGTCTTCACAGTAGGCTCCTTCGGGGTGGCCCGCAGCTTGGACACATCCGTGCCGGCTCGCTGACGGACGCCGACCCCCCAGGACCCGATGCTGGCCACCTGTCCGCACGAGCCTCCCCATCGCGGGTCCACCTGAAAGTTCTCCCAGGACTCGGAGTCCGGGCAGAATGCGTCCTCCTCGGCCACCAGGTCCAGAGTCAGCATGCCGTGGGAGGAGGTGGAGGCCTGGGGGAGAACAACACAAGTGGGTGTGCTTCAAAAACGACCATTGAGACACAATGGGAGGAGTAAAATAAGAGATCCGGGTACCACGGCCATGAGGTGCCCTCGGGTGGGCAGCCGCCGGCCGTAAGGGATCTTCACCCGGTCTCTGGTGGGATGGACCAGCGCACTGTCCTCCTCGATGGTAACCTGCACAAAAACATGGAATCTGATCCTGGAGCAGGAGACGGTACCGTAACGCACTTAGAACTCAATGGTTCTGGTACACAGCTGGATCGATTGTCGACTTCTTCATGAGCTATTTGAACCGTTATCAGAGTCACCTAGTTACCTCGTCCAAAACGCGGTTCTTGGCTTTGATGATGGCCACGTTCAGGGCATGGACCCACGATTCCTTCTCCTCAGGACTCACCGCTAGAAACACGAGGTTGGGAACCTGTGAAGAGACCAAAGGTTCAGTTTAGAGTCGTCGGATAAGCAAAACATTTTATAATTAATAAATACATTAATAAATGCAAGTTTTTGACTTACTTTTTAAGACAATGACATAAATAAATATTGTTGGCCAGTTGCTACAATCAAAGATCTGCTATAATAGCAGACCATTGATGATCAATAATTAGCATCATGGTCTGGAATCTAATTGAAATATTTCTTTCCTTTTATTCCTTCGATGATTCTGTTCTTCTGTTAATCTTGTGTTTTCAATCTTCGGATTAAAGACTCAATGCTTAGTATTCTAACAATGCTCAGTGTTGTAATAACGTTCAGTCAGTGAATATGAAATACATTCGACTGTTAAACCAGCTGAAAGAACCCCAGATCTCCTTCAGGAGAACCTGCACCGCTTTTCATTTTGAGAACCAGAAATCAGCAAATGACAAATCTGTTGACCTCATCAGTGCCGTGATGTCATCGGAGACACGATCCTCATCCCCATGAGCGGCGAGAGACTAAACACAAAACGGACACGTGAAGGCGGAGATTATCCCGCGGTAACCCTTCCTCTAATGGGATTCTGGGAATTAAACCTTTTCATAGAAGAAAAAAAACACACAGCGCGGCTCGGCCAATCAGTGAGGCCACAAATCCACCAATGAGGCGGCGTAAGCAATCCGCATGGCTGAAAGGGCCTGAAGACTCGTTCCTTCATCTGTCGTGCTCCCCTGGGGAGGGACCTGGGGAGGGACCTGAGGAGCGACATGGGAAAGAGGGACCTGAGGAGGAACGTAGGGAGGAACCTGGGGTGGAAGTTGAGGAGGGACCTTGGGGGGGACCTGGGGAGGGACCTGGGGAGTGACCTGAGGAGGGACATGGGAAAGAGGGACCTGAGGAGGAACATAGGGAGGAACCTGGGGTGGAAGTTGAGGAGGGACCTTGGGGGGGACCTGGGGAGGGACCTGGGGAGTGACCTGAGGAGGGACATGGGAAAGAGGGACCTGAGGAACAACATAGGGAGGAACCTGGGGTGGAAGTTGAGGAGGGACCTTAGGAGGGACCTGGGGAAGAACTCACCATGTTTCCCGGATGTCTGCAGCGCAGCAGAGTAAAGCGACTGTGGTTCTTCTTGCTGCGACTCTTTGCTTTCCTCAGCTCCTCCGAGCGCTCATAGTCGGCCAGGTTAAACACTTCCTGCGCCCTCCGTTCGTCTCTCACCTGCAGACAAACACACACATCACCGCAGATCAAACCTACGGCATGTCGGTGTCACTGCGAAGAACCGAACGCAAAGAATCAATGATGAGTAACAATAAACAAGGTGGCCGCTAAAGTCGCTGTGGTGGGGGTCCTTCAGGTGGTTTAGGATTAGGTGGTCGTTGAGGACGTTGAACGGGTCCTTGACGAGGTCCTTGAAATGGTAATAACAAAGAACTGCAACAGCTGTCCTGTTGCCGTGGTTACCGGCGGATTGACCGTGAACTTGAGACAGTTGACCGTGGCAGACTTGAAATTTGTAGATCAGCTTATTTGTTTCTTGCTCTTCCGAGTTTGTATCTTTATGGTTGAAATGCACTTATTGTAAGTCGCTCTGTAAAAAAACGCCAGCTAAATGACATGCAATGTAATGTAAAAGTGAAGCAGAACGACAAGCTTGTTTTTATTTTGTCATGTTCCAAATGAGTTATTTCCCTTGTATATCACTTGCGGTTTCAATACATCCAAATACAGCAGTTTGGGCTTTAGTAGCAAATAGATGCACATATTTTGATGTGGAATTACCAGGAAAATACAACTTTCTTAGCTAAACAGCTCAGGTAAGAGTATATTTATGGTAAAGATATTTCTGTTGTTAGCGAACCTACTTGACGTCAGCAGCACTCGCTTATATGTCAGTCACCTGTGGGTTGTCAGTTCTCATCGACTCATTGTGAGTCTTTACAGCACGACGTGTCATAGAGTTACAGCCAGAAATGTGGCAAGTGGCAGGAGTAGGTGGTGCATCCAGAATGTTGATAATTCATTTGTTTGGTTTAGTTGTAAAAATGGTTTACATCAACTTGTAGCCCAGGTCCTGCTGTTTAATCGGATGTGTGACATCAAATATAACTTTGTGATTAGTGAATTCATTTGATGAGTGTTCTTCCTCCACAGGGGCTTGGCATTCAACAGGATATGTATTGGGTCCTATATATATATATATATATATATATATATATATATACCTGTATATACATTGTGATGGCCCAGCCGGTGACCAGTGCCCCACATAGCTGAAGACAGCCAGACGAGGGCCACCAAGAGGCACGGTGGTGGATGGGTGGTACTACCCTAGAGGATTCACATAGGGAACTCCTCGCCACTCAGGTGTCTCTGGTTGACCCTCTAAGGTGGCGTGAATCAAGAAGGCAATCAGGAGCATTTTTAAAACTCAACTAGAAGACAAAGGGGGACGATCTTGAGCAACGGAGGAGTGAGCACCAGAAGCTGTGACAACAAGCCGCAGGGTAAGCGGCCCGCGGCTTGCCTATGTATCTCCAAGAGGATTAATCGCTCTCTCTCTCTTGCCCCAAGGACGGGGCCCCTATATTACGCTGTTGGAAAGGGCGACAACGAGAGAGAAATGGCCAAATACAGAATGGCCGAACAACCTTATGCCTTTCTTGACCGGCGAAGCTCAGAAGGCCTATCGGGACCTTTCAGGTGCAGATGCTGTGAATTACGATAAGGTAAAGACGGTCATCCTAGCTCAATATGGACTTAGCCTCTCTCACTTAGAGTGAAGCTGTCCATACCAGACCACAGCAACAGACCCGGAATGGACAGCTGAGGTGAAGCCACTGGAAGTCATACAATTAGACGAGGTGTTCTCTCAATTTACAGAAGTTGAAATATAGAAAGGTTTCAGGCCAGGACAATTCGACTCAGCCTAGCTGCGGGATCCCAACCTGACCCAAACTTCGAGAGACATCCAAGTGATGGAGGGTCAAAAGCAGGAAGGGGTAAGTCAAGTGTCATTTTCACATTTTTTATCAAGAATAAACCATTATACCGGGTAACGAAGAAGAACTCCGATATCTAACAGTTGATAGTCCCCAAAGACTATGTTTCCAAAGTTTTGTACCTAGCCCACAAGACGTATGAATGGTTCTCAGCCGTTTCTACTGGCCGGGAGACCAGAGGGCCTTGGAGGAGTACTGCCGACATTGTGCCGAGTGTCAAATCAACTCCCTAAAGGTAGAGAGGTCCTCTGATACCTCATCATTGGAACACCCTTTAGCGGGATTGGCATGGACATAGGGGGGCCCTTACCGAAGTCTAGCCGTGGTCACTGCTATATTCTGGTTATACTGGATTACGCAACCCAATCTACGGTCCGCTATGGGGAAGGTGGTTGCTAGGGAGATGTTTCTACTCTTCAGTAGAATAGGCCTGCCGGATGGAACCCTGACAGACCAAGGGTCCTGCTTTATGTCCAAATGTATGATGTCTGTGCCAAAGTCTAAAGGTGAGACAAATCAGAACCTCAGTCTATCACCCTCAGGCTGATGGACTTGTAGGGAGGTTCAACAAAACCCTAAAACCCATGCCACGCAAGGTAATCAATGTCGATGGTAAGAACTTGGACCAACAGCTGCATTTTATTCTGTTCTCTAGATGGGTACCCTAGGGTTCCACTGGATTTTCGAGCTTCTGTATGGTTGGAGATCCCGGAGTTTGCTGGATGTGGCCATGGAAGTCTGGGAGCAGCAGCACCACCGAATGACCCAAGTCTGGCCCTTAGTTCGGGAGCACATGCAGCAAGCCCATTAGCAGCAGGCATAGGTATACAACCGGGCAGCCCAGGTGAGAGTGTTCAAATGAGGGAGACACAGTGATGGTTTTAATTCCAACAAATCATTGTAAGTTTTAAGCCTTGTGAAATACTGGAACGGGTGGGGTCTGTGAATTACTGTGTACGGCAGACAGGCCGTAGGAAAGCCCAACCACTGTACCATGTGAATTTACTGAAGCCATAGCATGAGCCAAATCAAAACCTCAGTCTTGTCCACTCTAATGTCCTGGTAGCTAACATGCCTCCCCAGGTCCTCCTGCCAGTGAAAATGGGTGACCAGCTGTCATCCAGGCAAGGACAAGACCTCTGAGAACTGCTCGGTAGAAACAGAGATGGGGGACGAACAACGGGCATCGTCCACGACATCAGAACAGAACCGGGAAAGACCGAAAAACTACGACCATACCGAATCCCAGACGCCATCAGAAACAAGGTGAGGAAAATGCTTGACCTGGTGGTGGAGGAGTACCACACTGCCCGGTCCAGTCTTATAGTCCTGTTTGCAAAGCCGGATGGCAGCATTAGGTTCTGCAATGACTATAGAAAATTAAATGAGATTTCTCTGTTTGAAACCTACCCTATGCCATGGGTAGATGGGCTGGTCGAGAGGCTAGGACTGCCCCGGATATCCACGCTAGATTTAACCAAAGGATATTGGCAGGTACCACTCACCCCACAGGCAAAAGAGAAGACAGCCTTCTCAACCCTGGAAAGTGCTCCCTCGCCTTTGAGGAGGCGAATTACCTTGAGTACACTGTCGGACCGGGAAATGTGAAGCACCAAGTAAAGAAGGTGGATGCCATAACAACCTGGCCATCAGGGGCTGGGGCCGTCTTTAATGCCTTGAAGAAAGCCCTCTGCAGCGACACCGTGCTACACACCCCCGACTGGCAAGAGGTTTGTACTGCAGAAACATACATCAGAGGTAGGCCTTGGGGCAGTCCTGTCCCAAGTACACGATAGAAGTGAATACCCCATAGCCTTTATTAGCCCCAAACTACTTCCCCATGGGAAGAATTATGCAACCATAGAAAAGGAGTGCCTATCGGTTAAATGGGCAATAGGAAAACTAAGGCATCACCTACTGGGACCTCACCTGCTTGGAGTGGAGCACAGAGCCGGTCGGCTGCATGGGACCGCTGATGCCATGTCTGGAGGGAAGACTGCCTCTGGTCTGAGTCTGATGGCCCAGCAAGCGAGCAGTGCCCAACCCAGAACTCCTGCCCACCCAGGTGTCTCTAGTTGTCCCTCACAGGTGGCGTGAAGCAGGCGCTCAGGGGCTTTTTAAAAACTTTTAAAAACTTAAAGCTAAACAAAGGCAGGGACGATCTTGAGCTACGGAGGAATGAGCACCAGATGCCTGCAAACCAGCTGCAGGGCAAGAGGCCTGCGGCCTTAATTAATTACCCAGGAAGAGTCCGACGGAGCCCTTGACATCCGTGTGTGTATATGTATATGTACATGTACTCTGCAGTCCTCACCTCCTTGTCGGACACGTACAGGTGGTCTCCTCTCAGGACCACAAACCGGTTCCTCCACAGTTCCCTGAAGATCCCTCGACCGCAGAACTTTCTGATCCAGCCTACCTTTTCCGGCTGCTGTACCGCCGGCTGACCCGAGTCCTGAAGGCCCTGAATCACCACAACACAGGGACAGGGTTCAGAAAGAGACCACAGAGACCAGTAAAAACCAGAGACCACATATATTATATTATTTATTCATTATTATTCATTAATTAATTACACTAAATACATATATGTGTATACATATATATACATATATACATACACATATATGTATGTGTATATATATACATACATATATGTATGTATATATACATATATATATATATTTAACCTTTTTACACATTTCCATTTTATTCATTAACGGAAACAGCCTTGTTGTTTCGAAAGAATAAACATCGATATTTAATTATTAGTATTATAAACCTAATTTTAAAGAAACCTTTTACAGATAGATCCAGATGTTAAATGATGAGAATATGAACACATGCATATTAATGTCTGATGAACACAGACAGATGTTTGAATGAAGGCACGGAGGGAACACGGTGTTTGGTCCCGGTCGAACGGTATTATGGGATATTGTGAATCAAAGTCAGAGGATATATTATATAAACGGATAAACCGGAGAGTCGTACCCTTCCTCTCTGGTTGCTCTTCTTCATCCTCCAGCTGCTCACCGGACAATCGCTCCAGCGGGGGTCCCGGTAGCTCGGTGTATCCGTGAGTCCGTCCGGTTCCTCCTCTGCTCCGCGTCTGTTGTCTGAACCGACGGAGCATCCTCCCCGTGTGCGTGCACGTGTGTGCGCACGCGCGTGTGTGAAGGCAGATGCTCTCAACACACGTGAATAAGCTCGGACACGCGGACGCGCACGGCAGCCTACATTCCAATAAAAGGAGCTCGACACCGCCATCTAGTGACGCGCGCACACGCGCACTGTCACGTGCACACCTCTTACACAAAGAGACAATAATTCACGGCACTAATATTCTATTAGTATATATATATATATACATATATATATATATACATATACATATATACACATATATATATACACACACATAATATATATGTAATATATATTAGTAAATCAGGAAAGAATTTTAATTATTTAATGAATTTTTTATTGACCTCAGCACACTAAGCCCCGCCCACTCCCGTCAGCGTCATCAAAAATGAATAGGTCCAACAAAATGAAGCTTACTTATTTCTTCACTTATTTCAAATCTTTAAAATGTGAAATACTTGAATTTGGAAGAGGAATATTTGGTGTTCATGGCGCCGCCGCCCCGGAAACCGTAATGCTCGGTCGAAGTGGGCTGAACCTGAAATGAGTTTGACACCCTGGTGTAAATACTGCAAACCGACTGTGAAAATGAAAATAATACTCAAATAAATGTGATAAGCACAAACACGCCATTTTTATTTTAACATAAAACATTCACATTGAAGACCTGAAACATAAACGCAGAAGAGGGAGCGTTGTCATTTCAACCGGGCTCTCAGCTCAGCGCCGGTTGCTGTGGCGACCGCTTCCTTGCGTTCTGTCGCCGCTGTGACCCGCCGTGGCCATAACTTCCTCCAGGAAGCTGAGTGACAAACATTCACGTTAGGAATCTACTTCATTTCTTGACTTTGTTTGCCTTCTATTGTGTCAACTTATCTACCAGCACATTACATTTCTATATGAACACTAGAGAGGAGCATTGTGTGCGTGACTGTCACCTCCTGGTGTTGTGGATGCTGCTCCCTCCCAGGACGATGCGGACTCCAGGTGTGCTGCGGTTCAGGTTGTAAACGGTCAGCGCTTCTTCGTATGTGGCTCCACCGATGAGAAACACCACGATGTCCTGAGGCCTGAAGCGCGCACGCAAACAATAGACGTCTATGAGGAAATGACTCTGCTTCTCTCTTTTTATTATTATTTATTCCCTCAGTAAACATTGTAAACATGAGTTTATGGTCTTAATCAAGTCTTGTTCATTTAGTGAATTATGGTCCATGTAGAGTCAAACAGAGGCTTTAGGGCGGGGCCACACAGCTCTCTTATGCTAATCGCTAGCTGACACACGTGTTTAACTTCAACCAATTAGATCACAGTAGGCGGAACAAAACGTTTTCTCCATTAAACCGTTGACATGAACACCTTTAATTCTTTGTTTATGTTTACCAACAATAAAAACATTCCCCTTTAAAGAGAATCCCATTCAACAGGAAGTCACGAGACCTTGTGTGTGTGTGTGTGTGTGTGTGTCACCTGTCCCTCAGGCTACTGGCCCCCAGGTAAGGGAACTGACTGTCCTTCAGTCGACCTTTGATCAGCTGATCCAGAGTGTCGTGAATCAGAGGCTGATGCTGAGTGTACACGTTCTCTACGCCCTGAACACACGTTACCGTGACAGCAGACATTAAAAAGAGCAGTAACCAAACTATGGAAACTACTATTGGAAAGGAAATTAGTGTTGGTAATATTTAGCTAAAAGTATTTCAAATATGTCGTAAAATATAGAAAAAAAGAAATGATTGAAGTTTTGTGTTACTAAAAGGAGGTGTGTGTGTGTGTGTCTGTGTGTGTGTGTGTGTGTGTGTGTGTGTGTGTGTGCACCTTGAGGCCTTTGAAGAACTGCTTGGTTTTGGCGACGGCGTCTGTCGGGGTGACGAGGTCACTTCCTCTGACTCTCTTCCCACCGTACTCCAACATGGACTTCACCATCTGCGAGGCCACGTACACGCATGCGTCACACCTCCCGTTCCACAGTCAATGAACCGCGTGCGGCGCTCATGCGTTTGTCCAATCAGACCCCTGGTGTGACGTGACGTGGTTACCCCGCGGTGGCGCTCGGACACGCCCCTCCGGCTCAGCTCCTCCATCAGGCCCGGCAGGACGCTGCTGCTGTGGCGTTCGTAGCGCAGAGCGTAGAGCATCACCAGGCGCACCGCGTCCAGCTCAGAGAGGCGGGGACTCTGCAGCAGGCGGCGGAGGCTCTGAGACAAAGGGGACGAGCGAGAGACGGTGGGACCAGTAGATTGGTGGGCTTGTAGAACAGTAGACCAGTGCAGAGGACGGGTACCTGCTGGGCGTTGGAGTGGTCGTTCTGACAGGACAGCTCCTGCTCCACCTCTGAGACCTCCATCAGCTGACGCTCCGACACCAGCCGGGACAATTCCCCCACCACCGTCACGTGTTTGGACACGGTGCCGGACATCTTCTTGAACTGGGGATAGTTATCTACGAAGGCCTGAGAGAGACACGAAGCATTGCTGGGAAACAGACAACATTTCAGCGCGTCCGTCCCTCAGCCGACCCTCTGACCTTCATGTCAGTGATGGACTCCAGCTTCTGTTGTTCTTTTGGTTTCTTCTTCTGGAAATCTTCCATCAGGTTTTTAATGTTGGTGCCGATTTCTCCGAAGTTCAGGTACAAGTTCTACACACGCACACGCATCATGATCATTATTGATTGGCGATCGATGCGTGTTCTCCAGGTTCTCCAGACAGACTTACGTTGGCGTAGAACTCGTCGTTCTCTGCAGAAAGAACCACCTCCTTCAGGTCTTTGCTGATCCCTGGAACCCTGGAGAGGTCGATTCTGTTGTTGTTGAGACCCAGCAGCTCGTGAACCATCGCCTGGTAGGTCCACTGAGGGGACACACAGGACACATAGTACACACAGGGTCCACTGAGGGGACACACAGTACACATAGTACACACAGGGTCCACTGAGGGGACACACAGTACACATAGTACACACAGGGTCCACTGAGGGGACACACAGGACACACAGGGTCTACTGAGGGGACACACAGGACACACAGGGTCTACTGAGGGGACACACAGTACACACAGGGTCCACTGAGGGGACACACAGTACACACAGGGTCCACTGAGGGGACACACAGTACACACAGGGTCCACTGAGGGGACACACAGTACACATAGCACACACAAGGTCCACTGAGGGGATACACAGGACACACAGGGTCTACTGAGGGGACACACAGGGTCCCCTGAGAGGACACACGGGGTCCCCTGAGAGGACACACAGGGCAGGGTCCCCTGAGAGGACACACAGGGCAGGGTCCCCTGAGAGGACACACAGGGTCCACTGAGGGGACACACAGTACATATAGTACACACAGGGTCCACTGAGGGGACACACAGTACACATAGTACACACAGGGTCCACTGAGGGGACACACAGGGTCCCCTGAGAGGACACACAGGGTCCCCTGAGAGGACACACAGGGCAGGGTCCCCTGAGAGGACACACAGGGTCCCCTGAGAGGACACACAGGGTCCACTGAGGGGACACACAGTACACACAGGGTCCACTGAGGGGACACACAGGAGACACAGGGTCCCCTGAGGGGACACACACCTGGTTGAGCAGTGGTGTGATGGCGTCGTCGCTGCGGTCCAGGATCAGAAGCAGAGGAGGAACTTCCGTCTTCCTGAAGTCAAACAGCTCGTATTCCTTCGTTATGATTTGCTGGCGGACAGAAGAGGATGAATCACGTGTGAGACGTTGAAGAGACGTGAGGTGGGACATGGATGGTAAATGGTTACGGACTGGACTCCTTTTCTAGTCGTCTGACCACTCAAAGCGCTTTAACACTTCATGTCATCATTCACACACAGAGACACCATCTAACGTTCACAGCTGCACTACGACTGCAATGCTGCCCAAGGACACATGGACATGCGGGTTAGCCTGGGATTGAACCAGCAACCCTCTGACTGGAGGACGACCCACCCAGTCACAGGAGACATGTGATAGGAGAGATACGGGAGGTGAGGAGATGGGAGTGTGTTGCTGTGGAGACCTTGACGCTCTCAGCAAGCCGTTTGGACATGTCTGAGGACAGCTGGTAGCGGATCATTGGACATTTCTTCAGAGCCAGCAGGACGGAGGTCAGACCCTGAGTGCAGCGCGCCAACATGGAGGGCTCCCAGCTCCGCCCCTGGAGGTACAGACATGTATATTAGTACAGTGATGTACACACATATTAATCAATATTATGTATAACGTATATTTGAATCGTTTCCCAGCACTAGTATTTATATTTATATATATTGTATATATATATATAACTATAATATAGATAATATATCTATATAGATATATATATATAATATATATGGTTTGTGTTTCTCACCCTGGCGACTCCCTGCAGGTTGAGGGAGAATAAGTGAGGATTCACAGCAATGAAGTCTCCATAGAACTCCTGCAGACACACACACACTGCTGTTGGTGGGGGGGGGGGGGGGGGAACCCTGAGGTAAAAGTGACAGGTGAAGCACCTGAGACTCACCTGGACTTCAGCCACCACCTCCTGCTCATCAGCCTCAGCCAGAGCCTTGATTTCACTCTTACTGATCACGTTACTGAAGTCTGAAACACAAAGTAAAATAATCAATATCCTAGAACGCTACAATACCGCTGCAACATGTTGTATTTATAGCCTCTATTTGTTGACATGAAGTACGCAGAGTTACAGATGCTCAGCTCCTGTTTGATGAGCTCATGAATGAACCGATCGACGTGAGACCGAAGGAAGCTTTTAAACGTGAGAGTTGGGCAGCGTCGCTGTGGCTCCATGTGGATTCACAAATGTTGATTCTGGATGGGCATCGAGGCGATGACGTCATCGGGAAGCGGAGGTCACACCAAGCGAGCCGACGTGAGTGTGGTGTGCGTGTGCACATGATACAGTGAGTGAGGAGGAGGAAGCACACAAACATCCACTGAGGACACAGTCTGAAACCTACAGATGAAGTAGACGCTGTACTTTGGTCTCCGCAGCTCCTGGATCAGATGTTCCACATTCTCCTGCAGAGAGCACAAGAACAGAGGCTCACTTCCTGTCTTCATCATCATCTTTAACTCTCTCCTGCAGGTCTCCTGCTACCACCATTCCACCTCTGCAGCTCATCCAGAATGCAGCAGCTCCACTGGTCTTTAACCTTCCCAAGTTCTCCCTCACTCCTCCACTCCTCCGCTCTCTTCACTGGTACCGGTGGCTCATCCAGTTCTAAACATGGTGCTCACGTACCATGCTGTGAATGGATGGGGTCCAGCTTACATCCAGGACCTGGTCCAACCCGACATCCCGACCCGCACTCTCCGCTCTGCATGTGATAAACTGCTTGTTCCTCCTCACTGAGAGCAAAACACTCGACTAGATCTCCACTCTTTGCTGTCCTGCTCCTAAATGGTGGAAGGAGGTCTCTGAAGACATCAGGACCACAGAGAGCCTTCACATCTTCAGACTAAAGACACACCTCTTCACACTCTACCTCCACTAACACACTAACTAACTGTAGCACTTACATTGGACTTATAATGGTTCTTATCTACAGCAAGTTGTACATCGGCTGATTTGATGAAATCACACTTTCTTGTTTCTTGTTCTTCTGAGTTTGTGTCCTTATGGTTGAAATGTTCTTATTGTAAGTCGCTTTGGATAAAAGCGTCAGATAAATGACATGTGATGTAATGTGATGTGATGTAATGTGATGTAATGTGTGGTACCTTGGTGGGCCTCAGGAAGCAGATGGCCTTCAGGTGCTTCATGTTGTCTCTGCTTTGAGAGTCAATGCGTTCAAAGAGGTAAACTTCCTTCTGAAGGATCTCTGACTGAGTGTAAACAACACTCACAATGCTGGTCTGAGGACACACACACACACACACACACACACACACACACACACACACACACACACACACTTTAGTTGTCAATCAATACTGTGAAGTACATGCACACAGCAGAGGTACATGTGTCACCGAGTAGAAGTACTTATAAACGGAGGGCTCTCACCGTCTCTTTGTCCATCAGCAGCACCTTCATTCCGGGGCCGCTGTTCTCGATCATCTTGGAAACGTACTGCTTCACCGCGAGCGTCACGTTCATGATGTCGATGCAGGGAGTAAACAACAACAACAACAACAACAACAACAGCAGCAGCGGCAGAAGCAGCTGTGTGGAGTCTGTGACAATAGGCTCGGGATTTTCTCACTAAAATCAGCTGCTCTGCTGCGACAACAACACTGCAGAGGGATTACTTCCGGGTTGTGACGTCGCTACGTCAGACGCATGCGCACCGACGAGTCTAGCGTTATAATGTACCTACACAGTATGAGTAAAAGTACCCATAGTAGGGAAATGGACTAGTAGAATGACTCCTGGAAGTATTTCATTATTGTTATTGATTGATGAGCAGCATTTTTAGTGCGCTGACTTAAAACATCATATTCTGCTGGGTAATTTGACCTTCAACTCATTATTTAGTTTCATAAGATCTATTATTTATGCTTGCAATTAATATGTGTTATCTAGAGAATGTAGTAGCAATAATGCCAAATTATTGTACATTCCCTTCAGTAATGTAGTGAAATATAAATATAATCACCACAAAAGAACAGAAGTACAAATACCACTGATCTATTATAAGTAGAGTATTAGTTATTATTTTGCATGTTTCACTGCATGTCTCCTAACACAAGGTCACGTGGGTATCTCTTTTACACGTTAATGTCCTATTCAGCAGAGAAGAAGCATCATTTTGTTTTATTTTGAAGGGACAAATTAAAATTAAAATGTGTAGTTGTTAAGTGAGAGTTACACAAACTATAAAGTTGCTTTTATGGCTGTTTGCTGCAGACTTTATTTTTAAGGTGTACTACACTACTTTTGTTGTACCTGCCCTCTACCTAAGTAGTTACACATTCTGCTACTTCCCACAGATTAATACTTGTAAGTATATACATATATACTTATACATATATGTAAGTATATACATATATACTTACATAAGGCTTTTATTGTAATATAACATGATAACATTTAAACAAGTGACCTAGCTATATGTATACACTGTAGTATTACTGACAGTACTGTTATTCAGTAACCTGTATAACTGTTTTTTATGTGACTATAATTGAAGTGAACATATATTTAAATGTATAAACACTCACATTTATGAACAACCAGCTGGCTAGCTGTTCGCTAGCCATTAGCTTGTGTTTAATGCTAACTATATGTATTTCCACATAAACACGAGCAATAAACGTCCACTGATAAACACCTCTTGAACGTTGAGTTCATAATTAGTTAAAATGTGAATTTAACGAACGGCTGTCCCTTTGGGGCTAAAGCCGAAGCTAAAGCTAAAGCTAAGCCGATGTCGGCCAGCGCACCGTTATAGGTCACTTTTCGTGTGTAGCATAGGAGCGAGGTGGTTAGCATTATAGTGCCCGTGCGTTGACGTGGATTACGTCATAGCTAGTTGCTTGAATAGCGGGCGAGGACGAGTTTAACGTTGGTTTGGTAGCATGCTAATCACAGTTATCATCCGGACAGGGTTAGAATCACTATTAACTCTGGGCTGGATTACTCTTTAAGGGGTTTATAGGAAGACGAGGTCGTATTATCAGTTGTGTCTTTAAGTAACCACTAAAACACGAAGGGTGAATTTAATTATGAGAAATAAAAAACACATGAATGTGGTTGTTGTGATTTGCAGATATCCCTGCGCCGTCGGTCTCATCGCTCGCTGTAAGCGGAGTGGAGCCGCGTAGGGATACGAGCAGTGCAAATAGACCCAGCTTGGTGTGCCCAGTCCCAACTAATAGCTAACGTTATCCAGCACATGAAGATCACCGATTCCCCGATTAATCGGGGAAAAACGCTGTTTCTAAGTGAAGTTATTCCGGAATAAGTATTTATTTCACACACAAAAGCTCCGGAGAAGGTAAGCCCGACGCCCACTGCATTCTTTTTAATGGAAATCGTAGTAAATTAAGTCACTGAGTAGCTGCTATACTAGCCTTTAGCTAGTTAGCAGTGTTAGCTTAATGTTAAGGGGGTGGTGCTAGATGCTGCAACAGAAACGTTACTGTAGATAAATAATACACTCACAGTTTGTTTATTACATATAGAGTGTAGAGAAACACAAAAAAATGAAAATTCACTGATGTGCTGCATGTAGCATGCTGCCTGCAGTGTTTTAATCCTTTTTTGGCTGGCTAGCTTGAGTTAGCTTCCTAACTGACTGAGCTAACACTTTCAGTGTGTTGGTGCTTCTCGTTGTGATATCGGTCACCTAAGACATTAATGACCCTGTGGGAATAACTTTAAACCACACTAGTTATAATCTACTGTAAAATGTAAATGTTGTTTTTGAAAAATATTGGCCCTCTACCATTATAGTGTAATTAACAGAGCTAACTCTGAGCTAACCGGAAGTGAGTACAGGCTAATGACATGTTGATTAATGTGAAATTACTTACGTGAACATTGAATTAATCTCTGTTTATCCCCACAGGTGAGTTTGGTTGTTACTTTGGCTTATTCAAATAAATATAACAATAAAGATGTACAACTAGAATAAGAACATGGGGATAACATTTTCAGAAGAAGTTCATGTATCAATTAATACCTTGAAGTACACACAGTAGAAGTACTTCTGCATGGCGGGGCTCTCACCGTCGCTTTGCATTTTATCTCTGGTATATATGTCGGAGAGTGGGATCATTTTTTATGCTCCGAACAACAACTAGCCTGTAACAACTATTCCCTTTGAATAAAACCCAGACCAGTGGAACCAACCGTTCTCCTCAGACAGGAGTTAGCAGCATCAACTCTGAAAGCTAATGTAATGTAGCATGATGTCAGAAAACCTCCAAAGAGTCCCCTAAATGATTGTAATGAATTTAAACAAGCAACATGGCTGCTGGCACACCTCACAGGCAGTTAGACAGACGTGTAGATATTAGGGAGGTGGAGGGAAGTGAATCACGGAACCATCTGGTGAGGATGTAACTATAACGACAGTCTTGACAGGTGATGGAGACGCAAAGTGCAGCAGCTGACCTGCTGATGTTCTGTGATGAGGAGGAGGAGGAGGAGGCTTGGCCGCGAGAGCCAAACGAAGAGGAGGAGGAGGAGGAGGAGGTGGTATATGAAGAAGGTGAACAAACCTGCTGGATCAGCTGTTCTCAGATGTCTGTCTGTGTTTATGGTTCATGTTGTTTGTAAAAATCATTCTTTGGACACGTGTGTGTGTGTGTGTGTGTGTGTGTGTGTGTGTGTGTGTGTGTGTGTGTGTGTGTGTGTGTGTGTGTGTGTGTGTGTGCGCACACACACACACATTTCTCTTTTATAGAATTAAAGCCAAATTCCATCAGAAAACTCATTTAAATTGATGAACATATGACCTCACAGTTTGTCATCTGTGTCTTTCAGCTCTGGACGTCCCACCAGTCACCATTATCCCTCTCCCAGTCCAACCAGTCGGCTGCCCCCTCCCCCTCAGCCACATGCTGGAGGTAACTGGTGGAAGCTCAGAAGCTAGTTTCCCCTCGGTGTTTTTAACACGTCCTGTCAGCGGATTTTCATTTCATTTCATTTTTTTGCGCTACAGGCCTCAGGACATCATGGTGTTTCTGATGTGTGTGTGTGTCTCTGCGTGTGTTCAGTCTCCAGGTGTTCCTCTGGGCTTCAAAGTCAACGGTGTGCTTGTTCGCTTGATGCCTGGAGGTCAGTACGGTTCAGTTCACTCAAGCTCACAGGAAGCTTCTCATTTAAAAATAAAGGTCAAAACATTTGGTCCTTTTTAACAGACCGTTACCATGACAACAAGCCTCAACTTGCACAAACATGAGAGAGAGGATGTGACCTCGGAGAACAGACAGATTATTCTAAATAAACCTTGGGTTCAATACATCAGTGAAGCTACAGTCATTTGGAAAAATGGATCAAATAAAGTTTCTAATCTGTGAAACTCACTCGAGAGGCTCAACATTATTTCTTTTCGCTTGTTCTTTGATCTCATTGTACAGCTGCTCTGTCAGGGCAGAAACAGGCTATCTGTCAATGCTAAGCTAACGCAGCGACTCTGACACGTTTTTTTCTGTGTTTTTCCTGCAGGTGGCGCTGCAGAGCTGAAGCTCAGAGCTCATCCTGGAGGTTCAGCCAGCGGCTTCACTTCGGTCCACATGCACAACGCTGCACTCGGAACCGCCTGCACCGGGGCTGACCCCACCCCCATCATCACAGGTAAACACGCTCACCAGCTGGAGAAGGAGGAGCCTCACAGGCCAATGCGGCACAGACCTCAGACCTTGTCTGGTCCCTCTGTGCGCTCAGGTGTGCTTTCAGGTGAAGCGGCTCACATGGCTTCGACCGTAGGCAGTGAGGACCCCCTGTGGACCCGCACCACACCCCCACCAAGCCCGCAGACCACCAGGCTGCCGCCCCCCACCAGCGGCAGCAGCAGACCGGTGGCTTCTTCTGACAAGCTGCAGCTCAAAGGTCAGTTGCATCAAAATATGAATATTCACCCTCTTTTATTTAGACTGCTCTTAAAACTAAGGCAGCAGGTTCTGCAGTTCGACCCCACCCAGTGGCCTTTCTGCATGTTCTCCCCGTGTTTGGGTGGTTTAGGTCTGTCACGATATCACAACAACAAATGATTTTTCGCGATAAACAATATTGCAATTTTCAGACCATTTTAAGCCACTGATAACATAATGACAGTATAACAGCAGAGTAATACAAGTACGCTCTTTCAAAGAACAAAGTGTTTATATCTAGACATTAGAATTGGAATGTCAAAAAATATATCCTAAAATAAAACAAAAATGGGTGCAAGGGACACGGAGCGGGCGACACATCGGGCTTGGTGCGATGCGGGAGAGTTTGAGTAAGCGGAAAGGTTTAACCCGCGGGCTTCGACCGCCAACGAGCAGTCCGGAGGAACCGACAGTAGTTCAGGTTGAAACACCGGGCGCATGGTGGTTGTTTGAGGTGAGATTTTAGCTCAGTGTCTGTTTCCGTTGCCATGGTTTCTAAACAAAGTTGACGTACCGGCTCGTTCACGTTATCGGCTCTCTTCCCTCATTCGGCTTAAAGGCGAAATGTGCCCACAGCGGAGCGTCGTCCATTTGGACTTGTTTATCCTATTTGTCTGTAGATGTCACGAAAAATAACTCTTCATAACACGGTGGGTTCAAGCGTTCCCTCCACCTGTCGGTTCCGCTCTGCGTGTGCGGAGGCGCTGCCTAAAGCCTAGTTTATGCTTC